TCTCTGTGAGTTCAAGGCCAGCCTGGTCTACATAGCGAGTTCCAGGACAGGTTCTAAAAGCTACACAGAGAAACTCTGTCTCAAAAATCTAAAGAAAAAAAAAAAAAGAATTAGAACTTGAAAAAAAGAACCATACATTCATGGCACCTAATACCTGATCATTTACAAGATGAGGTCACTCGACTATCGGGGTATGAGATGACAGAAAGCAGACTGACTGTAAGGCTAACTCAATATTGAGAGTTTGCGGGATGGATGCTGTCATATAATCCAGTCTCAGAAAGACAAATACCACATTTCCTCTCTCATATGTGTATGAGACACATATATATGTATGTGTGTGTGTGTGTGCGTGTGCGTGTGTGATGAAACCAGAAAATGGACCATGAGAAGGGGAAATTGTTTTGAGGAAGGAAAAAGAGGAAGGGGAACACATGCGACATAAAACCAAGAATGAGATGGCCGAGAGTTGAATGGTACAGGAGGAGCAGGGGAATGGAAAAGAAGGGACAGGGAAGATCAACAAAAATAAATTATGTAGAAATGTCGTAATGAAACATTACATCTTGCTTGAATTTTAAAAAACAAACAAAAAGCCAGGTGTGGTGGTATGCAGGCTTAATCTTTCCTTGGGAGGTGGAGACAGGCAGGGGCAGAGGTTTCAAGGTAGTCCCTGGCTACACAGTGAGCCTGGGGTCAGCCAGGGCTCCAAGAGATCCTGTCTCAAAAAACAAAACAAAAACCAAACAATTGGGCTGGAGAGATGATGGCTCACTGGCTAAGAGTATATGCTGCTATTGGAAAAGACCTGTATTCCATTTCTAGCACCCACACGATGGCTCCTGAGGACACAATACCCCTTCTGGCCTTTTTGGGCACCAGGTATGCATGTGGTGCATATACCTACACGCTAGAAAAATACTCATATACATGAAAGATAGAACATTAATTTTACAAAAGAGAAAAAAGTGACATTTATAACAGCATCAGGAAAAAGTGAAGAACCCAAGTATACATTTCAACCAATTATCTACAAGATCTGTACATGAAAACTAAAGCACTAACAAAAAGAACCAAACACCTGTACAGATGCCAATTTTCCATAAAATGATCTTCAGAGATTACAAAATCCCATACACCCTAGAAAGAATACTGAGCTGATTTTAAAATATGGGAGACAAAACTCCATAATAGCCAAAAATAACTACAAAACAGAACGAAGGTGGAAGAATCGTGACCAAATGTTCAAAACTGTCCCTAAAGCTGCAATAAGCCAATCAAGACACTCTATATAGCTAGGCAGAGTAGCATATGCTTATAGTCATGGTTACCTGGAAAAAGAAGCAGGAGGATCACTTGAGCCCGTAAGTTTACAACCAGTCTACGAAATACAGCAACACTAAAGAAATGAAAACTGGCAAGGTAGTAGAGGCTGGGGCTCAGTGGTTGAGTGTAACATAGGTGAAGCCTTGGGTGTGAAGCTCACAATTAAAAAGGAAAACAAGTACTGTGTGGGTAAAATAACAACGGATGAAACATAGTGAGCTGGTGGGTTTGTTGTTGTTGAGACAGGGTCTCGATTTTGCAGTCCTGGTTGGTCTGGAACAGGCTGGCCTTGAACTCACAGAGATGCAAAGTGCCTTTGCTTCCTGAGTGCTGAAATTCAGGGTAGGTGCCACCACACCCAACCATGAACTGATGTCTGACAGAACTATAAAAGAGATGAAGGAAAAATAGTCTTGTTAATAACTAGGTGTCATAGACAGGCGATGGTGGCACACGTCTTTAATCCCAGCACTTGGGAGGCAGAGGCAGGAGGATCTCTGTGAGTTTGAGGCCAGCCTGGACTACAGAGCGAGTTCCAGGATAGCCAGGACTATTACACAAAACAGTTTTGTCTCAAAAAAACAATAATATAAGAAGAAAAAGAAGTCAAAACTAGACATGTTTTTAAAAAAATAAACTGACATACAACTTATGCATTATACAAAACTACTTCAAAATAGACGACTACAGATGTAAATGTCAAAAATACAACTTTCAGAAGTATAGAAGATATTCATGATTGAGTCAAGAAAGGCACAACAGAAAGGCTGGAGAGATGGCTCAATGGTTAACAGCACTTGTTCTGGCTGAGGACCCAAGTTCAGTTGCCAGCACCCACAGAGGCTCACAATCATATGTAATTCCACAGGCAGATCCATACAAGTGACAATACACACACATACACATAAATAAAAGGAAACAGAAATCATTTACAAAACAAAACAACAACAAAAAACCTCAAAAAAGCAGGTTTAAAATGTGTAGAAGACAGTCAGTGGTGGCGCACTCCTTTAATCCCAGCACTCATGAGGTAGAGACAGGAGGATCTCTGAGTTTGAGGACAGCCTGGTCTACAGAGCTAGTTCCAGGACAGCCAGAGCTACACAGAGAAACCCTATCTTGAAAACAAAAACCAAACAAACAAATAAAACATAAAAAATTCAACATTAAAAAAATGGGTAGAGCCGGGCGGTGGTGGCGCACGCCTTTAATCCCAGCACTCGGGAGGCAGAGGCAGGCGGATCTCTGGGAGTTCGAGACCAGCCTGGTCTACAGAGCTAGTTCCAGGACAGGCTCCAAAGCTACAGAGAAACCCTGCCTCGAAAAACCAAAAAAAATAAAAAATAAAAAAAATAAAAAAAAAATGGGTAGAAGAGCTGAACACACACTTTACCAAAGATACAGATGGAAAATTAACATATACATGTGTATTGCAAAAAAGAAACCAATTCAAACTGACAAACATTTCTTGTATAAACATTTCTGTAAAGATGCTATCTAAAAGGCAATATGCCTATGAAAAGATACTCAACATCACCAGTCACCGAAGAAATGCAGAAACGATACAATAAAATTTCAATATGGGTACAGAGAAATTTGAGTCCTTATTTATTGTTGGCTTGTGACTGAGAGATTTTGAAACAGAACATCCAACAAGCTAAGGGAAACAGAATGGAATCTCCTGCAAAAATTACCAATAGTCAGAGCTGGTGGTGCAAGTCTGTAATTGTTGGGAGGCAAAAAAAACCCAGGAATATCTTGCATTCAAGGTCTGCTTGGGCTAGCAAAACCCCATCTCAAAAAATTATTTAAATTTTTTAAGGGCTAGGGAAACAGTTCAGTGATAGAATAACTTGTATAGAATGTGGAAGACGCAAGACCTAATGCCCACTACAAAAACAAAACATACCACCCAAAACCCTAAAACTACCATACTTCTGAACACTTATCCAAAATAACCGAAACTAGGATGTCCCAAAGTTATTTTTACACGGCCACGGTGACTGTAACGTTATCCAAACAGCGGTCTACTGACACGAGTGAATAAACTGTATACACGTGCAGGGAACTGTTACACCCTAAAAGGGAAGGCGATTCAGCACACACCTGGACGAACACTGAGGACTCGCGGCACGTGAAGTAGGCCCCTCGCAAAAAGAAGTGCTATGTGATCTCACACACAGTAAGTATCTAAATCAGACAGATTCACCAGAGCAGAAAGAACATCATGGTTACCAGGGCTTAGGAGTCCCTTTGTGTCCGGGTTTCAGATTTAGAAGCTGAAAAGTTCTACAGATTTGATTCACAATCATGCAGCTTAACACTGTTGAACTCCACAATTAAATATGGCTAGAGGGCCAGATGTGGTGCCTCTGCTCCCCCAGGTGCCCTTAATTCTAGCACTTGGGGGAGCAGAGGCAGGTGGACCTCTAAGTTTGAGGCCAGTCTAGTCTACATAGTGAGTGAATTTTAGGACAACCAGAGCTAAAAGTGAGACCCTGTCTCAAACAAACAACAAAAAAATTAAGGCTAGAGAAACTGGACTTGGCAGCCCAAGTCGAGAGTTCAAGGTGGTAGAGCACTTCAACTTCAGCCATTAGATACTAGATTCAATCTCTGCTAGCAGCTAAAGAATAAAAATCCCACAGCCATCAGGTTTGCCTGTTTCTAAAGATAGGGGCCAGAGAGACCGCTTAGTATTAATAGCACTTTTTTCAGGGTTGGGCATTTAGCTCAGCGGTAGAGTGCTTGCCTAGCAAATACAGGGTCCTGGGTTTGGTCCTCAGCTCTGGGGGGGGAAAAAAAAACCTCAGCTTTTTGTTGGGCCCTGTCTTGAAAAAACAAACCAAACCAAACAAAAAACACTTTTTGTTCTTGTAGAGGACCTGGTTTCCATTCCCAGCACCCACCCATGACCTCCAGTTCCAGGGCATCTCATGCCCTCTTCCGACCTCTGCAGGCACCAGGCACACGTGAGATACACATACATATAATGCAGGCAAAAGGCTCATACAAAAATTAAAATTTAAAAGATCTTTAAAAATCTACTAAAAGACACTAAGCATTTAATCCTAACACTCAGGAGGTAGAGACAGAAGGCTCTGGAATTCAAGGTCAGCCTCAGGTACACAGGGAATTTGATGTCAGCCTGGGTTATACGGGATTGTGTTTCAAAATTCTAAAATTAAAAATTAAATCTATATTAAAAATCTAAAATTAAAAATAAGAGTCAGCCACTACATGAGACCCCATCTCAAAAACAAAAATGGTTAATAAACTTTTTAAAAACTGTAATAAAAGCAGTATGTTCAACATCATCTATCACTAGGAAAATTAAATAAAAATCAGTAGATAACCGAGAAAAGCACAGGACATATGGTCCGTGGCAATATGAATCTTAAGATGATCAAAGCAAGCTAGTTTAGTTTATTCAATTCTATTATTTATATTATTTTATTTTATATTTTATTTTTTGAGAAAGTCCTGCTTGCTATGGTGCCCAGGTTGGTTTTGAACTCCTGAACAAAAGTGATCCTAAATGTTAGAACTAGATGCACATGCCAGCACACCCAACAAGACAGCTTAGTCTTTAAAAAGCTTTTCAAATTCTCTTAAATGACAGTCACAATTACAAATGCCACCATCTATTAGAGTGAGAACATTTCATAACATTTTCATATTTTTGCCACAGTTGATCATTTGCAAAAAGAAAAGAGAGTATGACTTTCCAAAATTTCAATATGGCTCTTTTTATTAAAATTAATAGAGAAAGTACATCATATTGTTTCAATAATTTTTAATAAAAAGAGAAAAATGAAATGTACACACTCACTTGATATTAATGACATAATGTTTCATATCCTTATAGAGGAAGCAAAATTTGTAACTTGAGCCAGAAGTTGAAATGATTGGCATTTATCTAACAGCAAATATTTCATAAAATACGTAGAAGTATAACCACAGAATTGCTTTAGGGGGTTCTCTAGCTGAATCATTGCACGTCACTTGATTTTTCAAAATGATTATGTTCTGATCTAACTATACATACATATAAATAAAGATTCCACAGGAGAAGCAGTTCAGCATAGTAGAGCTTGAGTTTTAAAGTCAGATTTTTGGCTTTCCCAATTCCTGGCCAGTGGCTCTTGGGGAACTTGAAGTCTGAGATTCAGGGGTATTCATTTGAAAAAGTTGATGACAAGAGTTAACTATCATAGGAGGTATTGTTCGAGAGAGCCAATACCTCTAAAGTGCTTTCCACAGCATCTGACACACACCAAGTACTCAGTGGAGAGTAATGAGTATTAATGCTGCTATTACCATTAGGTTTCATTATTACTAACAAAATAAGCGCCCCTCAAGTCTAAACACACACCTAAAAAGGTCTACAAGGAAGTAAGTCTGTGAGACTAGCACGTGGCCAGAGACTAGAAGCCTGAATGTCTGAGGTGGTGTAAGTATATCCAAGCTGTGCACATAGGAATTTGGGGATAAAGTGGAGTAAAGGCAGAGGTCATTGTCTGGTGGACACAGTTGGTCATTCATACAATGTTAATTCTGTCTCACAACTAGGAGAAGAAAGGAGGTGAAGAATTAGCCAAAGGCAGATCCCATTCACTGGCTGCGGAGTCACTGGGAAGGTGGTAACATGTACCATTCTGTGCATTCCCAGCAGTCCCAATCCTCTTTGGCCCAGTTTTTGCTAGCTCAACTGTACCTCCACTCTAGCCTACTTTTCCCTGCAAGTAATGAAATCAGAAAAGGCAAAGACAATGACTTCCTGGCAGAACCTCACAAACAAGTCTTAAAAGTGCAATTGGTCAGAGATAACACCAGGAGGGCAACACACTCCATGTTTCCTCACGCCTTGCAATACAGGCAAACAGATAGGAATATGGGAAGAACCACGTGGATACTGACATCACTGAAGGAATGACACACTTCAAACAGGCTTCTGCAAATAGCAAATGGAAAACAAGACACCCAACAGACAATCTACTCTCACTACGCCCCCTCCTGTGTCCTCACACAGTAATTCTCCCAGCTGACTGACTAGCTCCTTTGGGTTACTTAGCAAGGCCATATTTTCATTCAGACCTGAGCTACCTACCCCTGCGTCTGCAATCTGGCTCTTTCTCTTGTTTTGTTTTTGGTGCTGGGGATGTCCTCACACATGCCTAGCATGTACTCCATTACTGAGCTACACCCCCAGCCACATGGCTTTTCCTTCTTTAATTCTGTAGTTTCATATGGCATGGCTCACATATAACTCTACTATTTTAAGTAAAGAAATATTTCTGCAGATTCGGGTTTCTAACTATTTCTACCGACAAGAGAATCATTCAAACCCTAGTTAATTAATTCTAAGGGCAGTTTGAAGATCAGAGACAGAATCTCTTAAAAGGATCCACCTTTTAAGAATTAGAAGGAATTAATTTTAATTCCTCCAACTTTCCTCTCATACCATCATTTTTTTTCAAAAAATTTAAAACAGTTATTAGCTTTGAAGAAGAAATAAAAAACCATCAACCTGCCGGGCGGTGGTGGCACACGCCTTTAATCCCAGCACTCGGGAGGCAGAGGCAGGCAGATCTCTGTGAGTTCAAGACCAGCCTGGTCTACAAGAGCTAGTTCCAGGACAGGAACCAAAAGCTATGGAGAAACCCTGTCTCGGAAAAAAAAAAAAAACCACCAAACCATCAACCTTAGAAACTAGAGACTTATCTAGCCCTAAAGATATGACAGAAGAGGACTGACAGGGAAGCCAGGCACAGTGGTGCATTCCTGCAGTTACAGCACTGGAGGGCTAAGATAGGAGGATTATAGGTTCAGGGCCATCCTCCAGTGTGTACCAGGAACTTGTCTCAAAGACAAGACAGAAAACTTACTTATACAAAGATTTGAAAACAATCTACCTCCTAGAAAGCAAGTGAAATGGGGTCAAGGATTTTAGTGAAAGACAAGAACAGCAATGCAGGAAACTCAATGGGATGGTCAGAAAGATTCTTCCTGGGACATAGAAACGAGACCATGAAATCAAGAAGCTCTTTCGTCTTGATTTAAGTGCCGGCCTCCAGTCTCAACTCAGAAAGATCTGAATTATTTGAACTGGTTGTCGATCAGAGTCCCTTTCATTTTTGCTTTCTTGGCTTCCAATTCAGCCTGGAAAGAAAAAAAAGTATGCCCTGATACATCACAATCACATGAAATTCTTAACATTTCTTCTTTATTCTAGTTGTCCCACTTGCCCTTAACTGCTTAGTGTATAAGCCAACTGTGGTTTTACAATCCTTATCCATCAATTCAAAACTCTGGCTCATGAAAGCTAGATATAAAATTACATGTGTATGTGTGTGTAGATCATCAAGGGGAAGGAGGGATATGTGTGCTAAGAAACCAGAAGGACAAGCAGAATGGAGACCTGTAATCCATGAACTAGGGAGCTAGAGGGAGGAGGATCAGGAGGAGTTCAAAGCCAGCTTACATAGCAACTGTCAGGTCAGCCTGGACTAATCCTGTCTTGAAAAAAAACCAGAGAGAATGAAAACAAAAAAAGCAGAGGAGGGATACTATGCAAAGAAGTAAGGAGACCAACCAGAGGGGGTAGGGACATGGGAAGGCTGTGGGGTAGGAGTATGGGGAGTCTGTGGAGTAGGAGCATGGGAAGGCTGTGGGGTAGGGACAGGGGGAGGCTGTGGGGTAGGGAGAGTATAGGGTAGGGAAAGAATGAGAACAAAGATAATGAGACACTTCTTATGAAATGCCATGAAGAAACTCACTAAATATGCTAAAAAATTGAAAAATGTAGGTCCCACCCTATATAGAGATATCATGCTCCAAGTTAATCCCATGGATAAAGAAGAAAACTAGCAGTGCTTTAAAAGCAATCAAAGTCCCAATTTGGGTAAACTGAGGTAGTAGAACTGTATGCCATCAATTTGGGTAAACTGAGGTAGCAGCACTGTATGCCATCAATTTGGGTAAACTGAGGTAGTAGAACTGTATGCCATCAATTTGGGTAAACTGAGGTAGCAGAACTATATGCCATCAATTTGGGTATACTGAGGTAGCAGAACTGTATGCCATCAATTTGGGTATACTGGGTAGCAGAACTGTATGCCATCAATTTGGGTAAACTGAGGTAGCAGAACTGTATGCCATCAATTTGGGTATACTGAGGTAGCAGAACTGTATGCCATCAATTTGGGTTTACTGAGGTAGCAGAACTGTATGCCATCATGTACTGGAAAGCACTAAAAAACCTGGCCCTTAATCCTGACCCTAGAGAGAAAGTAGCAGGTTTAACCATCACTCAAGTTAGGCCTGGCAAACAAGATTTCTAATTTAGTGCTAGACCCCAGTCACTATTTACCAACACAGCCAGAGCCTGGTGTGAGGAAGCTGGCAGCCAACTATACTAGTAACTTCCAAGAGCCTTTGCAAATCATTCAAAGCAAGAAATCCAAGCCAGGAGGCCTGCGCCTTTCCCCATGCCACTCACCAGCTCTTGCAGTCGCCTCTTGCTCATGCCTTTGCGCTCCAGCTGTTTTTCAATCACTTTGGCATTCTGTGCATAGGAGTCGGCAACTTCCCTCTATAGGGAAAATGAAGGGCCTTCAGACCAGCGCACTTACCAGGAACTACAATCAAGACCTCAGGCGTTATTTGTACTACTCAAGCCCATAAATTGGAACTCAAACAGCAGGCCTCCCTACACTTCCAATTCTTCATTTTCTCAATAACCCCGGAGACTTCAGGTTTCCATGGTGATCATTTGATAACATCCCTCCATAAAAAACACTTGGCTTGAAATACCAGAAAAGTAACTGCTGTTACTGCTAAGGACAGACTCAAACCATTAGAGCCTGCCTGGGAGGGACTGAAAATTATTCAGTCCAGTACCTTATTTTTTATTGGTTTGTTTTTGAGATAGGAACATGCAGACCCTGAATGTAAGATGCTCCCATCTAAACCTCCAGAGTACTGGGATTATAGGCGTAAACTGTCAGATCTGAATCCAGTTCAGTAGTTTTAAAATTAAAAAGTGATGAGAGGATCCACATTCTTTGTTCTCATTTTATAGCAGATGTCCCTCCCATTCAGGGAAACAGGTACTCCCAATAGCACTGAGTTTCTTACTAGTGGAGCAGGGTGTGAAAGCAAGGCTGCCAATTGTTCTGCTCCGCAGAGGCTCTGACTTAAGTCCCCTTACTCCCCCGCCCCCCAATTCCAATTCCCATGAAAGCCGAAGCACTTACAGCCTCTATCTCTTCTTCTTCCTCATCAATGGTAGACACAGTAACAGAGCTGAACTTGCCCATGTCTTTAGTCCGTTTGGTCATCATCACCTAGAAGAGAAGGAAGAGGTATCAAGCTAATCAAGCTAAGGTCACCTCACAAGGATCCATGAGCCATGTAAGCACATGCATTTGCGTGCCTGTGTACAGGCACGGTGTGAGAATACCTGCCTCTTAGGGACAGGGCAGGCTAACTATCTAAATGTCAGTGTTTTCAAGCATTTCCTTTTGAGTTTTTTTTTTTTTTTTTTTTTTTTTGAGACAGTTCCTGTCTAGCCCTGGCTGTCCTGGAACTCACTCTATAGACCAGGCTAAACACGAATTCAGAGATTCGCTTGCTTCTGCCTTCCCTCCCGATTGATGGGATTAAAGGTGTGTGCCACCACTACCTGGCAAAAGGTGGCTGGAGAGACAGCTGTGGGTGCTGGGAACCGAACTCTTATATTTTTGGTTGTGAGGGTAGCCTTTAATGGCTGAGCTATCTCTCCACTCCACTATTGAGGGATTTTTAAGTATATTTAAAAATCATTCTAATTCATTGAGGATTTAATTGTTCCCACTCTAAAAAAAAACTGAAAAGAGGAAAATAAAAATTATACAATTTGTAACCTTACAAGATTACTGCATATGAAGCAAATAATAAATGTCATAGTTCTATATCTGGCTATATACAACAATTGCATTTTCTTAATAAATAATATTATAGATGTATAGGTGAAAGTTGCTTTATTTTATTTTATTTTTTTTTTTTTTTTAAAATATTTTTTATTTATTTATTATGTATACAATATTCTGTCTCTGTGTATGCCTGCAGGCCATAAGAGGGCACCAGACCCCATTACAGATGGTTGTGAGCCACCACGTGGTTGCTGGGAATTGAACTCAGGACCTTCGGAAGAGCAGGCAATGCTCTTAACCTCTGAGCCATCTCTCCAGCCCCCAAGTTGCTTTATTTTAAAGCTTAGGGGGCAGTGCTCCAGCTCAGTGGGTCTTGCATAATATGTTCGAGTCCTGCGTATGATCCCCAGCACTAATGAAACCTGGGACTAAATGTGTAGCTGTATTAAGTCGCCTGTGCCCTTGGATGATAATTACCTTCTTAGGAGGCTCTTGCTTCTGAGTATATATATTGGTTTTCCCAAAGCCTTGACCAAATTTCACTACTGCTCCATCCACGATGAACGTCACAGGCGCATTCTTCGGCTGGGACTGGTAGAAGAGCGGAAGCCCACACCTGCAAATGGCGGAGTGAATCTCTGCAAAGCTCTAGTTCTACTCCCCAAAGCATGACTTACAAAGGAGACTTGCTTTTTCAGAAGACCTTTGTTTGTGGCATAAAATGTTTTCCTTTCCCCTAACGGACTGGGCAAGAATCAATTAGGATGCATGTTGAAATTTCCGATCAGGTTCCTAGGCCTGGCCCATAAGATCCTGGTTTGGCAAATGTAGGGGGTGAGTAAGGCTTGAGACTCTGCTCTTTTCAATGGCATTCCATATGATTATTTTTGACATTAGACAAAATTTGGGAAATGCTATCTAATGCTACTATTGGCTTTGTAGTAAAAAACTGCTACCGTTATACTCAGGTGTCTTGGCACTGGTTTGGGCATTCTGTCCCCTTTGCTGTTTCATTTTACAGCATCAGAGAAAGTGGACACTTTCTTTGGCTGACCATTATGCTTTTTGAGCTAAAAAGTAGACCTACAAGAAATGATAAAACCAGCCTCATCAATCCAGTATGGTGAGGAGCTCAAAGCCTTCCTATCTTCTACTTGTTTTCTTCTGCTTCAGTGCTCCTACTTTCAATCTTTTTTTTTTTTTTTTTTTTTTTTTATTTTTCGAGACAGGGTTTCTCCGTAGCTTTTGGTTCCTGTCTTGGAACTAGTTCTTGTAGACCAGGCTGGCCTCGAACTCACAGAGATCCGCCTGCTTCTGCCTCCCGAGTGCTGGGATTAAAGGCGTGCGCCACCACCGCCCACCCTCTACTCTGAATCTTTTGAGAAATAAGACACAATTGTCCTTATGTAAAGATTGAACTTAACTGCCAGGCATGGGGGCCGGCCTTTAATCCCAGCACTCTGGAGGCAGAGGCAGGTGAGTTTAAGGCTAGCCTGGTCTACATAATAAGTTCTTGGATAGCCAGGGCTACACAGAGAGACCCTGTCTCAAAACAACAATAACAAAACTTGAACTCACTAATATTCTTACTATTAATAGTCTAAAGCTGGAAGTTTTGCTTTAAATAACATCCTTTAAGATTCTTAGTTTTATAGTCTACATAATAGATTTTATACATAAACCTGGAACTAAATTATATTGTGTCACATTTTCCATTATGACTCAGCCAATTCTATTCCAAAAGAAAATATATATTGACAATAAAATCTATCTAGAATACTCACAGCAACTTTACTGATAATAGCCTACACTGGAAGCAACTCAAATTAATTGTAAATGGGTAAACAAACTGATACAATGGAATGCTCAAAAATAAAAACCACTGTGAATGAGTAAATGAACTAATAGGATGGGATAGTCAACAATTTTAAAAAGATACATATATCGGGGAAGAGACAGAAATCTTTAATAAATAAATAAATAACAAAAAGCAAAAAAAAAAAACAAACCAACAACAAAAAGATACATATAACACCTTGGATGAATCCCTAAAATAACAAACTGAGGAAAACTAGTATAGAGGCCAGTGAGATGGCTGAGCGGGTAAAGGAGTCTGCTGTCAAGCTGGAAAACCTGAGTTTGACTCCCAACACCCACATGCAAAAAGGCAAAACTCTTATGCAAGTTGTCCTTTGAGTCTGACATGTATTCCATGCCACGGACATGCGCAGAGAAGAAAGAGACAGGGAGGGAGGGAAGGAGGGAAGAGGGAAAGAGAGGGAAAGACAGACAGGTATAAAGACATGTATTTGTACAGAAGTGTTAGGAACGGTGAAAGCAGTATGACATAAAGCAGGGGCTACCAGGGAAAAGGGTGAAGGGTGTTGGAAATGTTTTCTATCATGACGGGGGTGGCATTAATTTATTGTATTTTTCTGTCAAAACTCATCGACTTGAATATTCAGATGGGTACATTTTATGCAGACATATTACATCTTGATCTTTCAAATTATACTATGTTAAAAACTCAAGTTTTTGCCTGGTGTGGTGCTGCATGCCTATAATCCTAGTACTTGGGAGGCTAGGGCAAAGGAGCAAAAGCTCAAAGCTATCCTGAACTACCTATCAAGACCCTGCCTCTGAGGAAAAAAAAAAGGCCCTCATTTTCCTTACTTTTATAATCAGCTGATCAGAGGTGGATTTAACTAGCATCTTTGGAAAGCATATTAGCATTTGGTTTGAAGGCCTTTGAGATTATCGAGATCAAAAAGAGATTATTTTCCTAACACAGTATGCTTTTACTGACCCATGCTCAGAAAAACCCACACTGTTGATACTTACTTTGCACACTTCTTTCTGTATTGACGTTCAATGCCCTCAGGCCTGCACAAAAAATGGAAGTTAAAAAAATGAAAACTTACAAGCAAATCTCATAACCAATTAACCTCCTAGCTCCTTTTTCCCATCATTCATCACTTATCATAACTCATGGTAAAAGTTCAGAAGTTCTGTTCTTTTTTTTGGTTTTTTGAGACAGGGTTTCTCTGTGGCTTTGGAGCCTGTCCTGGAACTAGCTCTGTAGACCAGGCTGGTCTCAAACTCACAGAGATCCGCCTGCCTCTGCCTCCCTAGTGCTGGGATTAAAGGCGTGCGCCACCATTGCCCGGCTGTTCAGAAGTTCTTCATTTCGTAGATCAACTGGCTGATTAAGCATGTATTAAATGTATAACCCCAGCATGCATTCCTTCTCTCACGAGCATGTACTGAGCAACTAAGAGGGTTGTGAGCAATTAATAATAATGCTAGCTAAACAGAGAAACGGTAAGTAGTATTAATAGTTAAAATCGTGATTGGTCTTGTAGTATCAACAATGATAACCACAATAATATAGCAGCAACCAATTATACAGTCAGCAATTTGCGCCCATGGCTTCTGAAATCTGTGGACTCCACCAACCATGGACAGAAAATATTAGACAAAAGTTGTGTCAGGGGTGGGGAGATGACTCAGTGAGTAAGAGTGCTTGTTCTGCCAGAACAAAGACCCAAGTTAGAATCCCCAGTATCCACATAAAAAGCCAGCCTTGGCTATGTATGCCTGTAACTCCAGCACTGGGAGTTGATAGCTCACTGGCCAGCCAGCCTAGTTGAAATGGCAAAGTTCTGGCTCAGTGAGAGACCCTGTCTCAAGGAAATAAAATGCAGAGTGACAGAGGAGGACACCCTAGCATTTGGCTCTAGATTATGCATGTGTATATATACCCATGCACCCATGTGTATGCAAAACACACACACACACACACACACACACACAGCACAAAGTTGTATTAGTACTGAAATGCATATATTTTCTTGTCATTATCCCCTAACCAATGAGGTATTAATAGCATTTCATTGGCTAGGGGATTAGAAATAATCTGGGCCTGGTGTTAGTGAAAGCTCATTCCCAGTGACATACTTCCGTCAACAAGGCCACACCTCCTAATCCTTCCCAACAGTCCACCAACCAGGACCCAAGCATTCAAAGAAGCCAATGGGAGGCCATTCTCAGTCAAGGAACCATACTCCGGAAATCATTCTCTAGAGAACTTGCACCACTTTACACTAGCAGCAATGCACTAAGAGTTCTGTTTCTCTACTGCCTCACTGACAGTGTATGGTAGTTAAGTGCATCCCAGCCAATTTCACATGTGAAAAATTAGATCTTCACGGGTGCAATAGCATGTACCTATCTATAATCATGGCTACTCGGTAGGCTGGGGCAGGAGGATCATAGTTTGAGACCTACCTGGGTAACATAGCAATACACATCTCAGAAATAGGGAAAAGAAAACGAGACCTGTCAATCTGCATTCCCTTTTCAAAACTGCACCAAAGTGACAACCACTTGTGCGTTTTTGTTTTATTTTTGTGAACTGTTAGTTCATATCTTTTGAGTCACTTTTTTCTTTTACGTTAAAAAGACTTGCACTATTAATAAATCTTGCAAGTATTTCTTTCTCAGTTTCTTAATTGCCTTTGATTTTTTGTTTTGCAATATGTGGAAATCTTAGATTGTTCTATAGTATCAGTACATTTCTATAGTCATAACTTCTTTCTCTTTGCTCTCACTGTCTGCTATGTATGTTAGAGCATAGACAGGACTTCTTCAACCTGAATTCCTACTGGAAATAAAAAATTCCAACCACTTATTCTAGAATCTGCTCCCATTAGTTTCTTCCTCCAAATCACTCTCTAAATAGAGGCAGAAGTAGCTTCCCTGGTACCACCTAAGAACATAACTGGTTTCTAGAGCATCTTATACAGTCTCCCTCTTCCACATTCCTGATTACATTTTCAAACAAGTTCTCATGTGACTTTCTCTACCAATCCTTTGTTTTGTTCTTATGGTTTTAATAATCATACTTACTTGCTTTTTCTACTTATTAATTTTTCATCATTTCCATCATCCATTCCCTGAGATCAGACAGACTCTGCCTTATCTCTCTATCTCCAGAGCTGAGCAAAACACTAGATATAGGGACTGGAGAGAGGGCTCAGCAGTAAAGAGCACTGACTGCTCTTCCAAAGTAACTAGTTTTAATTCCCAGCACCCATATGGTGGTTCACAACTGTCTGTAACTCCAGTTCCAGGGACCCAATGCCTTCTTCTAACCTCTGTGAGGTACACATGTGGTAAAGAAATAGACATGCAGGTAAAATAACATACACATAAAATTAAAAGAACTGTACACAGAGAAGATGTACAATACTAAATGGATTCATCTGAATAAGGAAACTAAACTGATCATCAAGAAGCTTTTTCTGAGATAAGATCTTATTGAAGCTGCCCAATATGATCTAGAGTTTGCCTATGTAGCCCAGGCTGGCCTTAAACTCAAAGCAATCTTCTTGCTTCAGACTCCCACATGCTAGGATAACAGTTGTAAGTCACTGCAGCTGGTTGACAAAGTTAAAAGTTTTCTTTTCTTTTCTCGAGACACGGTATCTCTGTGTAGCCCTGGCTGTCCTGGACCTCACTCTGTAGACCAGGCTGGCCTCAGACTCTGAGATCTACCTGCCTTTGCCTCCTGAGGATCAAAGGTGTGTGCCACCACTGCCCAGCCAAGCCAAATTCTTAAGTGGAGCAATCTATAATAGCAGCAGAGGTGGTAGCACCACACTCTGTCTGAGAGAGTCACAGAAACTTCATGAAGAGATGGTCCTCGAGCCACAGTTCAGATACAAAGTGGGATTTCATTTGAATGAAATACTCCATATATACATGGTGTATTCGTGGAATTGCTGCTATATAGAATGTCTGATGTCATCAGGACTTAAAACCCTAAAATTTCCTACCAATATTATAGACATAAAAACACTGCCAAGTTATTCTATGAACAATTATAAGACAATAAGTCAGGTTACCTAGAAGTCCTATAATGAAAAACAAAGATATAGCTGGGTATGGTGGCACTTGCCTGTAAACCCAGCACATGGTAGGTTGAAGCAGGAGGATTGAATTGAAGGCCAGATTAGGCTGCATAGTGAGAACCTGTGTCAAAAAAAAAAAGAGAAAAAAAACACAAATTATTATTCTCACTCAAGAAGTAGGTGGGAAAGCTGTGTGCTCAGCAACTGGCAAAAAAGAGGAACACTAAGAAAAGACTAGAATTCTGCCTTGGCCAGCCAAAGAGCACAGAGTAAGCCCTTGGAAAAGCTGCACATGACTAGACCACGAACTATGTCAAAGGGAGTGTACTTGCTTGTTGGTAAGTTCTAGGAACTCTGAACTCCAAGAGTGCTTGGCTACAAGTCCCTGGCCTAGGCCCTGCCATTAAATAAGGTACTACTTGCTACTAAGTAAGGTTAGTACTATAGCTGATTCATTCTAAGGGTAAGGCTGATCAGATTACAGGGTTTCTATTTCAGTCTAGGGTCACCCAGTAGTTTTCTTTTTTCTTTTTTTTTTTTTTTTTTTGGTTTTTCGAGACAGGGTTTCTCTGTGGTTTTGGAGCCTGTCCTGGAACTAGCTCTTGTAGACCAGGCTGGTCTCGAACTCACAGAGATCCGCCTGCCTCTGCCTCCCGAGTGCTGGGATTAAAGGCGTGCGCCACCACCGCCCGGCACCCAGTAGTTTTCTTGACCAGGTTTGTGATGTTACAGGAGACTGCAGACTAGTTGTATTAAATTGCTGGTGGTTTGAAAGAAAATGGCCCCCATTGGGAGTGGCACTATTAGGTGTGGCTTTGTTGGAGTAGGTGTGGCCTTGTTGGAGGAAGGGCTTTGAGGTCTCCTATGTTCAAACTACACCCAGTGAAATAGTCCTGTTGCCTGCATATCAACATAACAGCTCCTTCTCCAGCACCATGTCTGCCTGCATGTCATCATGCTCTCTGCCATGATGAGAATGAACTAATCCTCGAAAACTGTAAGCCCCTACCTCAAAGAAATGCTTTCCTTTCTAAGAGCTGCCATGGTCATGGTATCTCTTTACAGCAATACAATCCCTAACTAATGCAATTGCTTTCTGTACTAACTGAATAATACATAATACTATTATATGCATAACTTTCTATAAATAGTATATGTAATTATTACAGCGATCCTAAAGCTAGTTGATAATTTTCAAAACCAGATTTCTAAATAATGGGGGAAGATAAAACATAGCACAAAGTGAACCATGTAATCTGAGCCCTTGAGAGATACAAGCAGGAGGATCAGGAATTAAGGTCATTTTCCGCTAAGTATCCTCCTATTCCAGGCCTGTGCTACAAGAGAGACTGTCAGAAAAACAAATGAAAATAAACAAAAAGTTAAAATAATAAGAGAAGAGGGACTGGAGAGATGGCTCAGAGGTCAAGAGCACTGTTTATTCCTCCAGAGGACTAGGGTTCTATTCCCAGTATCCACATGGCAGCTCACAACCATCTGCAACTCCAGTTCCTGTTCTGGCCTCTGTATGCACCAGGCACATAAATGATACACAAGCATGCATGCCGGCAAAACATCCACATACAGAAAATAAAATTTATAAAAATTAAAAGGCACAGAAAAAGTCACATGATACAGGCAGATAATGGAGTGATGCACTGATAAGCCAAGGAACACTGGCATTGCTGGGAAAAACCCATACGAGAGTGAGAGATGGCTCAAAAAGTAAGGCATTTGCCACCAAACTTGATGACCCACGTTCTATCCCTGGGATCCATAGCCTTCACCTATATATAACCTAGGCTACATGAGCCCCTTTATATACATACATACATACATATCACCTACATATAACCTAGGCTACATGAGCCCCTTTATATACATACATACATACATACATACATACATACATGAGAAAGTAGATGAGAGAGAAAAAGGAAGGACTGAAGAGTTACAAAGAATTGGACAGAACCAGGAGAAGCTAATAATACAGAGTTAGAAGAAAGGAAAGAGGGGGCTGGAGAGTTGGCTCCGCAGTAAAAGCACTGGTTGCTCTTCTGGAGGACCCGGGTTCAATATCCAGCACTCACATGGTGGCTCACAACTGTCTGTAACTCCAGTTCCAGGGGATCTGATGCCTTCTTCTTCACACATATATGCAAGTAAAGCACTAACACACACTCACACACTTTTAAAAAGGAAAGAGTTCTAAGGTGTGTATAGAAGATAAAAGTGGGCCGGGCACGCCTTTAATCCCAGCACTCGGGAGGCAGAGGCAGGCGGATCTCTGTGAGTTCGAGACCAGCCTGGTCTACAAGAGCTAGTTCCAGGACAGGCTCCAAAACCACAGAGAAACCCTGTCTCGAAAAAACAAAAACAAAAAAAAAAAAAGAAGAAGAAGATAAAAGTGGTCATCGCCAGGTGTCCAATACCACAGAATATCTGTCCCCCAGAATAAAGTCCACTCACTCAATCAGCAAATATTTCATTTTCTGAGCTCCTGTTGTATGCTGGGCACTTAAGACATTTGGAATACACTGGTGTATTAGCATGCTAAAACTGCTATAGTAAAATGCCACAATCTGGGTAGCTTTAAGCAACCAAAATTAATAGGCTCAGATTTGGAGGCTGAAGTTTTGAGAATTGTCAGCTGAGCTATGTATGCTCTTTTTTTTTTTTTTTTTTTGGTTTTTCGAGACAGGGTTTCTCTGTGGTTTTGGAGCCTGTCCTGGAACTAGCTCTTGTAGACCAGGCTTTTGACTTATCCCTTCTCACCTAGCATCTCTGTGTATGTGTAAGTGTGCATATGTGTATATGGAACACATAGAGAGATGGGGGTCTTACTATGTAGACTAGGCTGACCTGAAGTTCACAACGTAGACCAGGTTGGACTGGCGCTCATAGAGATCTGTCTACTTTTGTTTCTCAAGTTCTGGGATTAAAAGCATGTGCCACCAGGCCTGGCGTTTTGTTGTTTGTTTCTTTTAAATTTTTGGGGTTTTTTTGTATTGTCTGTTGTGGGCATGGATGGAGCTGCCATGGCCTGCCTATCCGGAGGTTAGAAGGCAGCTTCTGGTACTTAGTTTTCTTCTTCTACCATATGGTAATTTCCTCACTGACATCTTTAATATAGACTGTGCTTTATTCATTCAAGACCTGGTACCTAGCTCAGTACCTGGTACAGGCCATGCATAAGCTTATAGACTGGGGATGTTAACTCTGTGGGAGAGTGCTCATCCTGGAAGACTAAGGCCCTTGGCTCCTTCCCCAGCCCTGCAAATAATACCGATAACAACAACTAAAGTTGCAGGCTGTACAAACTCATTCAAACCTGTAATTGGAACATCACAGCTACCAAATGCCAAGAGAATCAAGTTTCAGTACCATTTTAACAGAGTACAAGAAAGAATTTGCTGCATTATCATAAGTTAGACTACTAGCACAAATGTCAAAGTATCAGACCTAACTATGTGAGCTGATTAATACTACACAGAATAATTTACATTCTTCACAAACTGACCTCAACACAGCAGGGAAATAGAGCATTAAGCCCTTACCTCCGAAGATAGGTAGTCTCCTCATCTTCGGTGTTACAAAACTTATGAGCGTGTTTGGCAGCATCAATCACGCGAGACCGGTCCCGAGGCCTCATTGGCAATTTCTCTAATTGACAATCTAAAGGAATGAAGAAAGATTTCGCCGCTTAGAACCACTTAAAAATATCCTGAGCCTAGAGTGGTGGTGCGCGCCTGTAATGCAGGAGGATCGCGGGCAAGTTCGAGGCCGTTCTAAACTACATAGTGAATTCAAGTTCGACCTGAGCAACTTAATGCGATCTTGTCTCCAAAAAAAAAAAAAAAAAAAGCCCTACGTCTCGCTGCAGCAGTTTCCCGCCACTCACCCAGCACCAGGACCATCTGGCCGCACAAACAGTAGTAGACATGGAGGGGCTTCTCGCCGTCATCATATTCCTCGCGATCCCGGGTGTCAGAGCAGACCACCGACCGGGAAACGACTTTCGGCATAGCTCAAGGGGAGCAGCCAGAGAACTCTAAGGAAATGAAGGGTCGCGCCGAGATGGCGTCACAGACGCACGTGTAGGACCTGGCTTCTCCCTGGTCACGTGCTGGTGCCGGCCTGATTAACTTCCGGAACGTCCCATCTGGCTACGATGCAGGGGGAGGCGGGGTAGGATTGTTGACAGATGCTTCTCTGCCTAGGCAGTTAGTTGGAACAGCTTTAGTTGTCGACCCGCTCACTATTATTTAAATTATTTTGATTTCTATACAATCATCAATATTTATCTTGTTTTATTTGTTAGCGCACTAGTGTGTATGTGTTGAGGTCAGAAAACAACTTTCTGATTTCTATTCTTTCTTTCCACTTTGTGGATCTCAAAAGATACAGCTCAGGTCTTAAGCACTTTTACCTAGAGAGCCATTTCTCTGATCCATAAATATCCATGAATTTATGCAAAACCTGACATAATAAAGGACTATACATCATACACACACACACACACACACACACACACACACACAGACAACACACCCTAGATTCTAGATGTACCTGTAAATATTTTTATTTTATTGACAATATTCAGAATGAGTATCTAATGAAGTAGAAACTTTTTTTCGGCTGTACTGGGAATTAAACCTAGGACGTTGCACATACCAGACAAGCATTCTATCTCCGAGCTATCCTCCAGCCCTATTTCTTCTTTGTTTCTTTAATTTAGTTTTTAAAATTTATACATTTTTATTTTATGTGTACGAGTGCTTTGCCTGCATAGGAAGGCTTTGGAGCCTCTGGAACTGGCATTACATAAGGTTATGAGTTGTCATGTGTGTCCAATAGAACCAGAGTTCTCAGGAAGAGCAGCCAACACTCTTAACTGCTCAGCTATCTCTCCACCTTCCTCTGTCCTTCCTTTCTTTCCTTTCCTTCTCTTCCTTCCTTTCCCTACCCCTTCCTTCCTTCTTTCTTTTCCTCTTCCTTCCTCCTTCCTTTCCTCTTACTTCCTCCTTCCTTTCCCTTTCTTTCCCTTCCCCCTTCCTTCCTTCCTTCCTTCCTTCCTTCCTTTCTTCCTTCTTTCCTTCCTTCCTTCCCTCTTTCCTTCATTTCTTTTTATCTAATGAAGTGTTTCATTATCTAGTTGAGGTAGCCTTGAACTCATAACCCTCTTCCCTCTGTGTCCTGTATGCTGAGATTCCAAGCATGTATCCAGGTGACCAGCTGAAGCTTCTTTATTTAAAAAGATACAATTTAAATTCTTTAAAAAAAATCAACGTGGGCACTGAAGGAGCTCAGTGGCCTGCCACAAAGCCTGATGAACTAAATTCCATCTCCAGGCCCCACATGATGGAAGGCAAGAACAATCTAACTCTATTAAGTTGTCATCTGACTTGTGGTGCACACACACACACACACACACACACGCACACACAGAGAGAGAGAGAGAGAGAGAGAGAGAGAGAGAGAGAGAGAGAGACAGAGAGAGACAGAGAGACAGAGAGAGACAGAGACAGAGACAGAGAGTCAGAGACAGAGATAGACAAACAGAGAGAATAATTTAAAAATACTAAATTCAAATAATATGTAATCCATTTTTTGAAAGTGTATTAATAGGCAGTCATGGTTGCAGGTCTTCAATCCCAATACTTTTTTTTAAAGATTTATTTATTAATTATGTATACAGTGTTCTACCTGTGTGCATACCTGCACCCCAGAAGAGGGCACCAGATCTCATTGTAGATGGTTGTGAGCCACCATGTGGTTGCTGGGAATTGAACTCAGGACCTCTGGAAGAATAGTCAGTGTTCTTAACCGCTGAGCCATCTCTCCAGCCCTCAATCCCAATACTTAAAAGGCAAAGGAAGGTGGACCTTGCTGGGTTTCAGGCCAACCAAGTCTACACAGTGAGACTCTATCTCAGAAAAAAAAAAATTCAATTTGGTAATAGTTTAGTCAAAACTGTGCAACCAATGCCCTTATCTAATTCCAGAACGTATCAAAAGGAAATCTCATACTTTTTATTAGTCATTACCTGCCCCCTTTCCATTTTGTAAAAAGTAATTCCTTTTTATAGTTGAATAATATCTCATTGTATGGGTATACTATTTTTTGTTTATCCTAGCATGACTGGTTTTACCCTGTTTCCACTTTTTTGGCTTTTATAGATAAAGCTGCGGTGGATATTCACATACAAGTTGCAATGGTCATGTGCGTGTACAGGTCATATTCAAGATGGTTATTTTCAACTCTTTCAGTTATAGACCTAGTAGTGAAATGGCTACATCAGGAGCAAGTCTATATTTAATCTTATAGAACCTACCAGAGTTTTTCAAGGAGTGCACAATTTTACATTGCTATCAGCAGTGTACAATGGTTTTTACTCTTCTCCAGCCTTGCCAAGAATTATTGCTTTCTGTCACTTATTGTTATTATTTCTTCATGTGCATGTGTGCATGTGGATGCCTATGGAAGCCAGAAGGGTGCATCCAATGCCCTGCCCTTCAGCTGGAGTTACCAGCAGTTGTGAATTGCCTGAGATGGATGGATGTTGGGGATCAAACTGGGCTCCTTGGCAAGAGCAGTAAGGGCCCTCAACAGCTTAGCTATCTCTCTAGCCTCCATTGTCAGTCTTTTTTTTCTTATTGCCATCCTGGTCGCTATGAAGCAGTGTTTCATTGTGATTTTGATTTGCATTTTCCTGATAACTAATGATGTTGAGCACTTTTTTTCATACACTGATTGGTCACTTGTATATCTTCTTTGGATGAATGTCAACTCACATCCTTTGCCCACTTTTAATTAGTCAATTTATTTATTTATTTTTTATTTTATTTTATTTTTGGATTTTCGAGACAGGGTTTCTCCGTAGCTTTTGGTTCCTGTCCTGGAACTAGCTCTTGTAGACCAGGCTGGCCTCGAACTCACAGAGATCCGCCTGCCTCTGCATCCTGAGTGCTGGGATTAAAGGTGTGCGCCACCACCGCCCGGCAATTAGTCAATTTATTATTGACTTGGAAGAGTTCCTGCAGTGCTGGAGAGCAAACCCAGGTCCTCATGAATTTGGGGCAAGGATTCTATCGTTGAGTTCCAGGGTTCTTGACATGTTTTGGATACCAAGCCTTAATCATGTAGTCATAATCATGTAAATGATTTGTGATTAGAGAAATCTTGCTTGTCTTGTTTGTCCTATGTGTAAGGGACCATCTTTCATCCTTCCTTCTTTAACCCAGAAGGCTTCCCAACATTCTCTTTCTGGAGGGTAGACACCTGGGGAAACACATCAAGACAATTCATATTGCATAACTTCAATAATTCAAGTATCAGTACTAAAATATTTTATTTTAAAGAGAGATCTGACTGAAGACTTCAGGGTTTTGTGACCAGAGGAAAACAAGATATACACCAACTGGAATTTAAAAAGCCATTTACCAGCCCTTCCATGAAGATGTATTATTTAAAATGTAAGACTCTTCTTTTCACAAGCTTATCGGGGTGTGTGTCTGCGAAGAGATGGGTCAGTGGCTGCAATTCCAGATGACCAGGGTTTGATTCCTAGAACCCACATAACCATCAGTAACTCCCATTTTCGGAGCTCTAACCCCCTCTCTGGCTTCCAGGGGCACTAGGCACACATATGGTGCACAGGTATAAATGCAGGCAACACGCTAATGCACATAACAAAAATTATTTTTAACTTTATTAACATACATTAATTATGTTTAATTACAGATTTCACTGTAACATTTTCATATATGTATTTAATGTGTCTTGGTTCACATTCCTCCATCTTGTCCCTCTCCCACTTCCACTGGAGCTCTCCTTCTTCCCAGAGTTCCAGGAGTGTGTTTGAGGGGTTATTTACAAGAGTATGGGCAACTGACAGTGGCTATATCACCGAACAAAAGGCCTCTCTTTCAGCAGCCATTACCCGCCTACATGTCCTCAAGAAAGTGTGCGGTCTCGTAAGTCCCTTCCCACTCCATGACAGGGTGATGAGGGACCCAATCTTGTGCAAATAACCACAGCTTCCGGGAGTTCAAAAGCATGCTAAATGTGCCCAGAAAACAGCAGGCCAATCGCCCCCAACCCTTCTTTCAACTCTTATATTCCTAACCCCTCTTTGGGGATGTTTCCACAGTTCTGAAGTGGGTGGTTTAGATGTTCCTTTTGGGACTGGGCCGCCAACATGAATACTCTTACCTTCAGCATCTGGATCATGTATGAGTCTCTGCAGTAGTCACTACCCACAGCAAAAAGAAGCTTTGCCGACCAAAGCAGACAGCAGCCTTACTCTACGGCAGAAACAGAAACATGTAGACCGCAATTAGACAGGCGCCCTGGACCTATGACCTCTCCAGTCTCCAATTTTAAATTAAATATATATGTGTGTGTGTGTGTGTGTGTGTGTGTGTGTTTGGTGGGTGTGTGTGCGCGCATGCACTTTCTACTAGATAGGACCCAGGAATATAACTCAGATTGACAGGCTTGGCAGCAAGCTCCCTGTCTAGCTCATGTTAGCTTAGCACTCAAAACTCCTCTGCTTCAGCCTCCCCAGTGCTGGGAACGCAGGAAAGTACCACACACAAAACAAGACCATCCAGCTGGGCCGTGGTGGCGCACGCCTTTAATCCCAGCACTCGGGAGGCAGAGGCAGGTGGATCTTTGTGAGTTCGAGGCCAGCCTGGTCTACATAGAGCTAGTTCCAGGACAGGCTTCAAAGCTTCAGAAAAACCCTGTCTTGAAAAGCAGAAAAAAAAAACCCAAGACCATCCATCCTTTTGGTTCTGGTTCTGTTGGGTCTCTAGGAGCCCAGAGCTTTGTGCATGTTAGGAAAGTACTCTTGTTACACACCTAGCCCTAAGCATAAGAAAAATATTAATGAAAATCTTAGAGAATCATTATCTTTTTATATTTTTGTTCTGGAGCCCAGCCTTTGATGGCCGAGTCAGACCACCCTAAAGGTTGTAAGTTGCCTTGTGGGTGTTGGGAATTGAACTCAGGGGCCTCTGCAAGAACCCCCAGGGCTCTCAAGTACTGAGCTATCTCTCCGGCCTTCATATATGTTTTGGTGTTCATTTTTTTCTTCAGGGTAGAGAATCAAAGACATTCACTTCGCAGCATGCCTCTGCATTGCAGGTTAATAACCTTCAGTACAAGTTTGAACAGAAGTTCCTGAACTGTACGGTTACATTAAATTTTGAAATACAGAGGTTTTTGCACTTGCATTATGACCTGGAAAAATGCTGTTGGAACTGAAATCTGGGCTTGGGAAATAGATCCACTGAAAATTTATAGAAGAATGCAAACCTTTTAAAAACAGTTAAGTAATATTTTTATTTATTCCTTGAGAATATTATACACATACATATCCAATGTATTTTGATCATAGTCATCCCTCAGTCCCCCAAATTCTCCTCCCTCCCAACACATCTCAGCCATGCTACTGCAGACACACACACATATACACACTGAAAAAATGTTAAAAAAAAATGAAGACACAAACATCATAAACAATCATTTATCAAGTATATAGCAGAAGATAATTTTTAGAACCATTGGGTGTTCTTAAGCAGATGCGGAGGGTGGTGCGTCTCGTCCTGAGCTCAAGGAAATTTCAACTGCTAAACTGTAGAAGGGCAGCTGGCAGGGCAAATCAGAAACACTGTTTTCTTCTCTGATAGAGTCAGGGAGCTGCCGATGGTTCCGTTCACGAGAGTGACGGAATGACCTGCTCTCAGGGAGAGTTGAGCCCTCGGCTGTGAGGAGGTCATTTCTCCAAGATGTCCAGGTGAGGCGGGGGTGAAAGAGTGCTTGGCTAACTGTGCTATGGATACAATGGCCTAGACTGCTACTCATCTGTGCTGGGAAACATTCCATGTTACCACTTGCTGTGACAACGTAGCTTGGATGGGGAGTGTGGCGGACACAATGTCCCCAGGATGCAATTCCATTCCTCAGTCAGAGGACACTATTCCCAGACAGGTGTCTTGGGCTTGCAAGCTAATTTAGTTCAGGCCCTTGAGTTGTCTTGATTATATAGTCCAAGAAAGGAAGTGAAGGAAGAAAAATAGACAAGCCCACAGAAAATGTAAACATGTCGACTGTATCTTCTAATACTTTCAGACACTTATCTCCAGTCAATAAAACTACCATTTCACAGATCCTCCAGGAGAGCTCCTTAGCTTTCCCCCTCTCTCCTTCTGCTTTCTCCTATCCCCCTTCCCCCTCCCAGGTTGGCCTTGAACTTGCACTCCTCCTGCAGCAGCCTCCCCAATGCTGCATTCATAGGCACTATCCATCATGGCCAGCTTGCATGGGGTTTCTCAATAGGATATACTCTATACCTCTTTCTCTCTTGGGCTCAACCTCTCACAAAAGTTTGCTTTTAATCAACCTTGCCACTCTTGATTTTCCCAGCTGAGGCTTCACTTCATTATTTCTCTGTGGAGAACCTCTCCCTCGCTGGCTGCTGCGATGGTTCACACCTGTCATCTCAGCGCCCAAGAGGTTAAAAGGCAAAGATTGCCACGAGCCTGGCACCAGCCGAGGCTGGGTAACAGTGATTTCAAGGACAACCTGGGCTATAGGGTAAGACCTGGTCTCACCTCCTGCTGCAAACAACAAAAGGAACATAGGAACCTCCTCCTCTAACCAAGCCAGCCTGCCCGCTGCTCCAGAATATAGATTTGCTGCATGCACTTGCTTGTGTTGGCATCCTCAGATAAACATAAACCATTTGGAGTTTGCCTCTTTTACAACAAAAAGTTGTTTGAGGAACCTTGTCTTGAGCCCACTAGACTAATGGTCCTTAAGTGGAGTAACTTCTCTGCCCGGAGGGCTTCCCAAGCTCCCACTAGAGATCCCACTCTTGCTGTGGATGGTGGGGTTGTCTAATGCCGCCCTTTACAAAGGCACGTGGTCCTTGTTGAACCCACATATCTTTGTCTGGCTATTAAGCCAAACATTTAAACTAGAGTTGACAGTGAAGAAATTGACCAAATTTTACTTATTTAGGTACTGGGGGTGGGACAGACAGTCTCACATATGCTAAGCAAGCCCTCAGCTACTGAGTTAGAATACTCCAGTCCCCTGAAAAGAGTAACTACAACCTGAAGCTAGAGGTTTTTAATTTTAATTTTATTTTTGGTTTTCCCAAGACAGGGTTTCTCTGTGTAGCTTTGGAGCCTGTCCTGGAACTTGTTCTGTAGACCAGGCTGCCTTCAAACTCACAGAGATCCACCTGCCTCGGCTTCCAAAGTGTTGGGATTAAAGGTGGGTGCCACTACAGCATGCCTGAGGATTTTTAAAATATAGAGATCATCAAGGTTGGGTCTGACCTAATCAGACAAGGTAAAGAAAGTACACTCGGTTCTCCCCGAAGAAAAATGTTCAAAATGTGAGAAGGAGCAAACGAAGTAGAAATAGTGTTTGTGCCTAAATGGAGAACAGGTCACATAGCAAAGAATGGGGGTGGTCGCTGGCAGCGGTCCCACCTTAGCAGTCAATAATAAAATAGGGCCCTCAACACTATAACCCCAGGAGTTGGCCTGCAGTTAGTTCATGACAATCATCTAAGCAGCGAAAGAGGGCCAATGCTCTTGTTCGCAAGCCTTGCTTGCTTTTTTCCCCCCTAAGTATGAAGTAGAAGACTTTAAGTTCCTAGATGAGGGGAAAGGACTTTTTGAAATTTGGTTTTGGAACCTTTCCCCGCCACAGCCATGGCACGGAGCTGCGGTGGGAACTTGCTTTATTAACTGCTATGCTGGAGGTAAGGAGAGCTAACCATGGCTGGCCGCGAAGGCACTTGTCCTTAAGCACCTAGCAAGATCATTACTGTTGACGTGTGCTTCCTGCCTCCTGTGAGAAAAACAAATTTTGCTGAGCGTCTGATGTTTTCTGACCATCTTCACAGGGATGGCTCATCAGTCCCAGGAGCTCGGCAAGTCCCACTCAACATTGCCTCTCCCAAATGTGTCCTTCACCCTTTATACCCAGCTCTGTTAATGGCCACTTCAGATCTCCACTTATCTCGGGGCTTAAAGCTTCAGGCACTTTTGACTTCTTGCCACCACATTCAATCTAGTGCCAAGTGCTCTTCATTCACCCCCGCCTTTTCTCTGGTGGCTATAGAAGACTGGAGAGAGAGAGAGAGAGAGAGAGAGAGAGAGAGAGAGAGAGAGAGAGAGAGAGAGAGAGAGAGAGATTCAAACTGTGAGCAGGATTTAACGGGAGAGAGTCTCTATTGAAAACTTTGATGCCATAGAAGGTTCCATGGTAAAGAATGCACTTGGCCCTGGATGGTGAGCGTGCTGATATCTCTCCCCAACAAGAACCCCGCAGCTGCTCTTGGGAGCAAATTCTGATTAGCACAGCTCTAAGGGCGCCACTTCCCTGCTCTTCCTTCTACCTTCCGAGGATCCCGTTAGCTTGGCGTTCAAAGCTCCCCGGGATTTAACACAAACCCGCCTTTCCTATAGTCACCATCCTTCTTAAATGCGTATCTTGTCTGTGCCAACTAAGTGATTTTTTTTGGATTGATCTTTTAAACTGCTTTCAAACTGTGATTGCTTTCACAGGTCCTTAACCTACCCGTGAGTCCTCCCCGCAACGTGCAGCTTTTCCACGCGCGCCCTACCGTTCCTTTCCTTGTGATCTTCTGTCCTTCCAAGGCCCTGCAGCTGGACAATCTCATCCCCGGGAATCCTCTAGACTAGCTGCTTGGCTTGTTGAACTGTCAAGGAGAAATGTGGTTCCAGAGACAAATTGTGAGTGCCCAGAGCGATTGTAAACCGTCTGTTCTATCTGCCTGAAGCTGTCATTTCCACCACCACCCCAATACCATTTTATTTAGGCCCAGGTTTAAAGGTTGGGATTGAATTGTGCACCCTCATCCCAAAGAAAAGGGACCCAGAGCCCATTTTCATAGTCAAGATCCACTTCTTTCTTTCTTTCTTTCTTTCTTTTTACTTTGCCCACTAGTTTAACCATTGCACCACCAGTCTCTTGTGGCTGTGGGAATGTGATCCGAACATTTGTGCTTTTGAGAATGGGTTTTCCTCTGCCAGCTCTTCCCTCTGCTCTTCTCTTTCAACTTCTCCTCTCCGCTTTCCTCCACCCTATAATAAATTATTCCTTGTCCAAACAAAAGAAGCCAGGGGTGAAGGCATATTTCTGTCATCACAGACCTTGGCAGTCTGAGGCGACTGCAAGGGCCAGCCTCTGGGGTTCATGGTGAGGCTGAATTAGTCAGTGTTACATTGGATGGTATTGTAAGAAAAAAGAGGAGGAGGAGGAGGAAGAGGAGGAGGAGGAAGAAGAGGAGGGGGAGGAATCAGGGGAAGCCAGCAACAAAATAAGAAATAAAGACGGGCACGGTGGTGCAGGTGCACTCTTGTAATCCCAACATTTGGGAGGTGAAAGCAGAAGGGTCAGGAGTTCAAGGTCATCCTCAACTACTCCGTGAGTTCGAGGTCAGCCTGGCCTACTGGTGGCCGTACCTCAAAAGAGAAAAGGAAAAAAACAAAGATAAAAAAAAGTAAGTAAAGATAAAAAGAAAACTTCACAGGGTTCGTCTTCAAATCAGCAAGTGGAACCAGAGCGTTCCCCGGTTAAATCCCCGCGTGTTGAAGACTTCCATTTGCTCCCCAGGGTTGCCTTTTCCAGTGAACTGGGTGTGTGTGTGGGGGGGCTCTCAGGCCGGGTTTGAGTGACATAACAACTCCCCCCCCCGTCCCGCGTCTTGGTACGGCCCGTCCGGCGGAAGGTGTTCCACCCCCCCTCGCTTTCTCCTCAGGTTGGTTCAGCCCCCGTCTACTCAGGGGTGGTGCTTAGCCGGCGCCAGACCGACCCTCGGCTTCGGAGAGGCAGCGCTGTCCCTCTAGGCGCTCCCTCGGCGGCTTCGGCTCCCTCAGCTTCCTCAGGGAGCGCAGACCCTGGTTTATGCCCCAGCTCTGACCCCGCTAGAGACATGTCGACCCCGGCCCGGCGGCGCCTCATGAGGGACTTCAAGAGGTAACCCCCCCCCCCCAACCCCCGGCCGTCATGGAGAAGGCGGCGAGGGGGCTGCCGGCCGGGGCACAGGGCGGATCCCGGAGCCGAGCGGCTCGGGGTGTGGTGATGGGGGGCCGGCGGCGAGTGGCGGCACTGAGGGGAGCCGCTGTGTGTTTCTGAAGGTTACAAGAGGACCCTCCGGCCGGAGTGAGCGGGGCTCCATCAGAGAACAACATAATGGTTTGGAACGCGGTCATTTTTGGGTGAGTCTGCGTCCCGGCCGCTGCTGAGGGCTGAGGGACCGGCGCCGGCCCCCTCGACGAGCGGCGGAGGGGGGATGGGGGGGACAGGGGAAGGGAGTCGGGGTTGTTGGGGCCTAGGCGCCTCCCTGGAGCCTCTGCCTCGATTAGCTCCCTTCCCCGCCGCCGCCGGGGGGGGGGAGCATTTGGGGTTCTAGGGGGGCGGGGTGGGGAGTGGTGGCGGCTGAGGCGGCGGCGGCCTGCGTTGCCTCCCGAACCCCGAGCGGAGCGCGAGGTGGCTTTCCGGGGTGCAGCCGGGAGGCAGGGACGCGAGCCCTTGACAGAGCCGCCCCCGCCGCCTCCGCCGCCCCCGCCGCCCCCGCCGCCCCCGCCGCCCCGGGAGGAAGGGGAGCCTCTCGGCGGCCGCTGACTTGCGCTTGTTTGTTTTTCTTTCTCTGTGTTGCAGGCCCGAAGGGACCCCATTTGAGGATGGTAAGAGAGTTTCTCGCCCCACCTTTTAGGAGCCTACCCCGCGGGAGGGGGGAGGGGGGGTCCCTGTCATCAGCAAGCGCTCCCCCCACCTCCCCCCGCTTAACGACCCTGCTCTGCTCTGCCTCGCCCCCTCTGCCTGCTAAAAAGGTCTGAGTGGAATCCAGTGTGTGGCGGCTCCAGGCGAGGCTTGTGCTTCCCCGGAACCGCACCGCAACCGTCGGGCCGGTTGAGACCTTCCAACTGGGTAAAAGTCGCTCCGTGAGAGCTGTGCCCCGGCGCGGGGGGTTGGAGCGGCGAGCCTGCCTGCTGAACCCCCACCCAGGTCAGGGAGCATGAAGTCGGTCCACCAGAGACCATCTGCTCCCGCGTCCGCTCCCTCGCAAAGGGCAAGGACGGTGCGCAGCCGCGCTTAGTGTGCGCTTTCCGGGGGGCTTCATCCTCTGAGGCGCAGTTGCCTGCCTTTTACACTCTGACACGGGAGGCTCACTGGGCCCTGCTCCCTTGCAGGTGCTCAGAAATGCCTCCTTTCAGTATAATATTGTTCCTTGGTTTTAAATTCATTTACAGGTGGGGTTTTCCTTAGGGTCCTCTGGTCAGGAATCTGACAGCAGCTTCAGAAGTGAGGTTTGCCTTACGGTAGGACCCCTTTGGCCAGCGTCCAGCCTACCTGAATGCTGAGTTTGTAGCAAGAGGTGTATAACTTAAGCAATTTAGGTCTGACTTTTAAGCACACATACTAACTGCCCTTCAAAAACTTTGCTGCCATGGTGCCCTATGCCTTTAATTCCTGCATCTGGAAGGCAGAGGAGGTAGAGGCAGGTAGATCTCCGTCAATCCGAGACTAGTCTAGCTTACATAGACTCAGGCCAGCCAGGGATACATAATGAAACCTTGTCTCAAAAAAGAAAGCAACAAAGAAAATAAGCCTTTCTGTTTGGCATAGTTACAGATTGCTGTGCAGTTGAAATACTATAACAAGTTCTTGAAAACTCTTCACTTACTCTACTCCCATTGGTCATCTCTTGAATGTCTGCCTATACCACAATATCTCAATCAGAATTGACGGTGATAGAGTTTTATAGGCAGACGTGTGTGTGTGTGTGTGTGTGGTGTTTTGGGTCTTTTAAGGTTTAAGTCATTTAAAGAATGATTAAAACTATTTGAATTCATGAAATTCTTTAGTGTTTGGGGTGCTTAATCTTTCTGTAATTTTTTTTCTCAATGACTTATCTTTCTTTAGTAATGTGTGTGTGTGTGCGCACACACACACCCTCAAGTTTAAAGGTGACAACAAAAACATTCATTTTTTTTCCAAGACTGAGTTTCTCTATATAGTCCTGGCTATCCTGAAACTCTCTGTAGACCAGGCTGGCCTTGAACTCAGAGATCCACCTGCCTCTTCCTCCCGAGTGCTGGGGCAAAAGGTATGTACTACCATTGCCTGGCCCAATCCATTTCTAAAACTCTTCATATATATGTTGCTGAGTCAGAAAACTTAATGTGAAGTAAGTTAAGATCAGCCATTCTATAATTTGTCTCAAATACTCAGATACCCTTCAAAAACTGTGGCTAGTCAACCAGAATACTTTAGCTTTCTCTCTACCTCACTGACTAGATAACTGCTGCTGCTGTTCCATGCTGCACTAAAAAGAAAGAAATGCAGGAGAGAGTGATTCTAGGGCACACTACTTTGGTGAATTTAATGTAAGGGCTAGCCAGACTTCTCTTCTAGACTGGTATTATTTTGTTTGTTTGCTTGTTGTTTTGAGACAGGGTTTCTCTGTGTAACTCTGGCATCTTGGAACTGTAGACCAGGCTGGCCTCGAACTCACAGAATGCTGGGATCAAATGCTGTGCCACCACCACCTGACTGGTGCTACTTCTTTTATATGTAAGCTTTATGCGTAGACCAGTGGTTCTCAACCTTCCTAATGCTTCGAGCCTTTAATACAGTTAGTTCCTCATGTAGTAGTGACCCCCAACCATAAAATTATTTTTATTGCTACTTTGTAACTTTTTGCTACTGTTATGAATTATAATGTAAATATCTGTATTTTCTGATGCTCTCAGGTGACCCCTGTGAAAGGGTCATTTGATTCCCTCCAAAATGGACCATGACCCACAGGTTGAGAACCAGTGGTATAGTGGGATTTATTTTCATTGCCTCCCCTCATTTTCCTCAGACTATTTTATCCTAGGCACAGCTTATTAATAGCACATCATTTTGCTAGAAACAGGCTACTTCAAATTTAAAGGGTGCTCCTGATGTTTAAAGTAGTGTAAATTGAAAAGATACTGTGGAATCCATTATCTACCTTGACTGCTGCCTTTGACATTACTGCCTTTGTTTTTGATGGTGTACAACTATCTGTAACTTGGCATTGCTGAAAGGAGTTAAGCTAAATGACAGTACCCATCTCTGATTCTGTTGAACACTTTAGTATATATGCATGCTTCTTCTGGTGTTTAGAATTCTGACTGGCAAAAACAAATTCTGACCATTTTTTTATTACTCTTAATTACATTTGGAGACTTTATAACTAGGGAAGAGATTCGATAGGAGATAAGTGACAGCTGATTTGCTGTGTCCAATGTGTTTTCAAATTAAAAGCCCTTACACAACTTTTGTTTATTCCTTGATAGAGGTTTCTGAATCAGGTCCTAGTTAAAAAGAGGAAATTCTGAGAAAAGAAAATTTTAAAGGCAGTTTGCTTTAGCTTCACATATTTAAAAAGAGATAAATATGTTCTGGAAAACTTATACTACCAGAATATTGTAAGGAAAACTTTGTTGAAATATCTTTATATATAAGCTAAATACAAAAGTTATGGGATATATTCTTTATCAGGTCCAAAATTATTGAGATAATTGCAGTTGCTTTTTAACGTATATGTGACCTTAAGAATTTGAGTGTGTATATCTTTTTTAAGTAAGTATCTCTTTTTTTTGAGATGGGGTTTCTCTATGTAATAGCCTTTGCTGTCCTGGAACTCACTTTGTAGACCAAGCTGGCCTCCAACTCACAGAGATCCACCTGTCTCTGCCTCCTGAGTGCTGGGATTAAAGGTGTGCGCCACCACTGCCTGACTAAAAGGTATCTCTTAAAGTCCACTAAGAGTAATAAAGAATTTTCTTTTAGTCATCAAAAAGATTTAAGTACATGTAATTTTCCTCCAGGCTCCTAAGTTAGTAATCAAATGACAAGAAACGAGCAGAAAAGTTTTCTTTGACAATAGCACTTGCTTTTTTCTTTATTCCCTCCCTCTCTCTCCCTCCCTCTCTCCTTCTTTCCTTCCATCTTCCCCCTCCCCCATATGTAATTTGTTTTTTGTTTTGTCTTGTTTGTTGTTTTTTGAGACAGGGTCTCAAATATATCACTTCAGATTAAATATACGATTGAGGATGACCAGAGGAACCTAAGAAGTTCCTGATTCTATTGCCTCCCTCTCCCAGGTGCTAGGATTAGAGGTGTTTGTGCCACATAGGCCATCAGACCTGACTCTTTGAATTTTCAAAAACATTGAATCTGTTATGTAATTCAACCATGTCAGTTTTATTGATATACTAGACATTTAACACATTATATATTTTTCTGGCCTCCATGTTTATTTGTGTTGGTACTTAAAAATGGTTTGGCCTCTTCAGAAAGATAAAAAAAATCAGAAAAATCAGTGAAGATTGTGTACAATGATGAGGTCTAATCTTTCATTATGTTGAAGGCCTAGCCTTCTGAAGGTGAGCTCTGGTGTGAAATTGTTTAATAGCCTATGATTTTTTTTAATTGCCTTAAATTTGTTTAGATCTCATGAATTGTAATTGAGGGTTCCACTGAAGAGGCTCTGCTTATTTAATGTAATTGAAAGGAATGTTGCCTTTTAAATGTATACATTGTAAAAAAAAAATGTATACATTGTATAATATTTGGGTAAGTCAATTTATGAATCAAGTAAACATAAATTGGTTGTTTCACTTATAAAGGTATCTAAAGCTTTTACAAAGATTGGATTCACTGCCTCTTGTTCTTCTTTCAGACCACAGTTAGGCCGAAGGCTCTAGCCAAGGAATTTGAACCGGCTGCATATATAATCAACCTATGAATATATGTGTTTGCTCTGTAACAGGAAATTAGTGCTACTTAATAATTGAATTTACTTATGTGTTTCTGACTGGTAGTAAAGTTCAGAGTTTGGATTTTTCTCTCATTCAGCCAGGTCTAGATATGTGAGGCAGAATTACAGGTAAAGTAATTGTTCATTTATGAAGAACTTTGACTATACACATTTGCTACACTTAAGCCTCACAACAGTGTTGCAATAGATACTATTAGCCTTCTTTTGCACATGAAAAACTTGGTTTAGTCAAATACAGCACCAACAATATATGTATGTGTTTTATCATATGTCTGTGTAGCATGTGTGTGCCTATTGCCCTTAAAGGCTAGAAAACGACATGGGATCTCCTGAGCTTTCATGTGTGTGTTGGGAACCTAGCCCTGAGCTTGTTCTCTTAAACCCATTGTGGTGTTTCTTTCCGCCTTTGGGTATCACACTTAATGATGGTTTAATTCAGGGTAGCTGGGGTCTCTGTGTGCTATTTAGTCAGTCCAGTTTTGCCAGGTGGTGGTGGCACATACCTTTAATCCCAGCACTCCAGGCAGAGGCAGATGAGTCTATGAGTTCAAGGCCAGCCTGGTCTATTTAGGGAGTTCAGGGCAGCCAGGACTACACAGAGAGACCCTTTCTCAAACAATAAGAACCTAAAGGAAAATTTATAAGCGTGAAGTATGCCTATTCCTTACTGTTTTGTTCCCTTAAGCTTCTTTATATAGTATCTACATATGGCCTTCAAAAAGAAAACAGTTTCCAGAGTGACAGTAGTTTAGGGAATGTACTTTTTTTTGGGTTTTTGAGACAGGGTTTCTCTGTAGCTTTGGAGCCTGTGCTGGAACTCGCTCTGTAGACCAGGCTGGCCTCGAACTCACAGATCCACCTGTCTCTGCCTCTCGAGCCCTGAGATTAAAGGCGTGCACTACCACTGCCCAGCTGGGGAATGTACTTTTGCAATTACATTTTATTTACTTCTATTTTTATGGTGCTGTGGATGTAACCAAGGGCCTGGACTGAGCTAAACAAAATGCTCTTATTGAGCTACACTCTCAGTGTCATATTTAAAAAAGCAATTCCTTCCTTCCTTCCTTCCTTCCTTCCTTCCTTCCTTCCTTCCTTCCTTCCTTCCTTCCTTCCTTCCTTCCTTCCTTCCTTCCTTGCCTCCCTCCCTCCCTCCCCCCTCCCTCCCTCCCTCCCTCCCTCCCTCCCTCCCTCCCTCCCTCCCTCCCTCCCTCCCTCCCTCCCTCCCGTGTATGAGGACTTTGTAGCATTTTTCTTTTTAAATTTAGTTTTTGTATGGTTGTGGGTACCCATGTGGAAATCACAGGACAACTTGGTAGAAGTCACTTCTCTCACCTCATGCATTCTGGTAATCAAACACAAGTTGTCAGGCTTAGTGGCAAATGCCATGACCTATTTAGCCATCTTGCCAAGCCCCCATATTGTATTTTAAATTAGTCTAGAATTTTGTGACACATTCATAGCAAGATCAGGTTGGTAATAGAAAATCAAATTTTTGATATTGTTATGTGTCAGATATAGCAGTAGAAAGATAGTATTCTCTTTTCTTAAGTAGGAATAAACCTATTAATGACAGTCAACAGGAAATAAATTGCTAGTTCTAAAGGAATTAATAGTTAAGTTATACTCTAAAGTGTAGGCTACTTTTGTTATTCTCTCCACTAATGTGAATGATTGCATTGATATTTTAGTGGAGTATTTTGAGTCAAACGTGAGGGTTTTGATAGGCACTGCAAAGTTTGTTCTGGCTTAAATTCAATTAAATTTTCATTATAATCATTATTACATGAAAAGAAACCAATGAACATTTTTCTCTGTGTTCCATTTTATTTGTTAATTATGGATTTGCATTTCTAGCAATGCTTTTGGAACCTTTTTGTCCTAGTATACTGGGGACTACTAGAGAAATTTAAGGTAATGCCTGATTGCCATAGGCCTTTGAGGCTTTGCGGGGGTACTGGATGTTAAAACTAGGGCCCCCTGTATAATAGGCAAGTGCTCTCGTACTAAACTGTATCTCTAGTCCTAAGTTCTTTTTAGTCTAAAGGAGAAAGGTCAAATTTGGGGCTCAGTACCTTATTTATCATTTGAAGGATATGTTCAAAGTGCATAGTGACTATCATACAGCAAACAGCAATTTTGTTTATGGTGACTGTCTTTTAATTTTGGAGAATAATGGGAAAATAGCTAAAATACCTTTCGGTGGTGGTTCCTTGAGATGTTTCTTAACTAGTCTCTTCTCTATACTATATCCCTGTCCTTATGTTATTTCACTTAATGATTAAAAATATTCAGAAAGCATTAAAAACAAAGTACATGTGAAAAAAGTAATAAATAAGATGTCCTATTCCCCCTTTTTTAACTACAGGAACATTTAAACTTACAATTGAATTTACTGAAGAATATCCGAATAAGCCACCTACTGTTAGATTTGTCTCTAAGATGTTCCATCCTAATGGCAAGTATTTTATTGTATTCATTTTTTTTTTTTTTTTTGAGACAGGGTTTCACTGTGTAGCCCTGGCTGTCCTGGAACTCGCTCTGTAGACCAGGCTGGCCTCTAACTCACAGAAATCTACCTGCCTCTGCTTCCTAAGTGATGGGATTAAAGATGTGCCCTACCAGTGCCTGTTTTTTGTTTGTTTTGTTTTTTATGGCAAATATTTTAAACATGTTCTTGTACGGTCCTACAGTGCTTTTTATGGTGGTAATTCCAAATGCTGTTGCTTATGTGAAGTACAAGTATTTTGCTGTCTCTGGAAATTGGAATTCATGTTCTTTTACTGTATTGATCTATAGTCCTGGAAATGCAAGAGGATAGTACCATCCTTTGCTTGGAGACTTAACAGCCTGCTGGCTTTATAATCTTTGTTATTTACTCACTAAAAAAAATAAGAATGCTTTGAGGGGGGGCTCCTGTTTAATGATAGGCCAAATTAGGGTAACCGTGTATTTTGTAATTCTCTTCACTAGCACTCAGAAAGGTATTTTTCAACTTCAGGTGCAAATCAGAATTACTATGAAACATTTTCAATACTCAGACCCACCAAACACCAGATTCTGTTAAAGGATCTGACACTGTTTGTTGGAAAAGTGCTGCTACTTGTCTACAAGATTGTCTTTTACTTTTTTTCTAATAATATTTTTTCATGGTGTTAAGACTTTTATCTTTATGCCAAAATAAAACTTTGTGAATGTTAAGCTGTTACAAATAGGATATATAATTTTCAGATTTGATGGGCTGAACTTCCCACAATTCTATGGAAAGATAACCTGCTAGGAAATATGTGTGACATTCTGAACAGGACAGTTTCTTCAGAATAAGCACTGCCCTCCAGTTTTATACCATGCTATTTTCTGATTACCTTATTTCCCTAGTAATGATTATGACACCTTTTTAGACAGTTAACTAGGAAACTTTAAACTTCAAAAGCATTCTTGAGCATTTTTGTCTTGAATATGCTTAAACTTTAGTAGTCTTATGTTTAACATACCTACTTCTGTGTTCTTAGTCTACGCAGATGGTAGTATATGTCTGGATATACTTCAGAACCGTTGGAGTCCAACTTATGATGTGTCTTCCATTTTAACATCCATACAGGTGATTTTTTCTCCCTTTAATGTGATTACAATCTTTGATGCTTTTACATTAGTGATTATTTTGACCTTTTAAATTTTGGGATCAAGTTTATTGTATAAGGGAGCAGACCATTAAAATACAAGTCTTCAGGAAATATGTGTATGTGCATGTGTATTTGCCTGAACTAGTTGCGGTTACTTTAAGTTAGTATGTGAAAGATGGAAAAATTAACTATTATTTGGGACAGTCATTGATAAAATAGCTGTTCTCAACAATTTCTTTGTCTTGTTGCATTAGGGAACTGATATTTCTCTTTTCTCTGTAGTCTCTATTGGATGAACCTAATCCCAATAGTCCAGCCAACAGCCAGGCTGCCCAGCTGTACCAGGAGAACAAGCGGGAATATGAAAAGCGTGTTTCTGCAATAGTAGAACAAAGCTGGCGTGACTGTTGACTCAGGGTAGAACAAACGAAGAGGCTGGCCATAAGAAAAATGTATATTGATGAATTCATCTGCTTCCTATTCCTAATTCATTACATTTACTTTATTAAAAACAAAATAGCTGTTGTGCTGTTTCTGTCTTCCCTTGCCAAGTTTTTCTTCCCCTTTCTGTCCTCCTGTGGAGCATCAGAGATTCCATTTGAAGTCCAATGTACTGTACCTGGGTTACTTGCAAACATTACTACTGCATATGTCCCTTTGTTGTATCTCATTTCCATCCTCCAGCCTCTAAGCAGTTATCAGGTTACTGTACTTTTTATACTAAGCTTTTAAGAGAAACTGTTGTGTATACCCGTGACCAGGATGTTATTTGTAACTAAATGATTGCTGCTGTGTTTCATCCTGGCCAGTTTTTCCTTGTGTTCAATTTGGCAAAGAATGTATTTAGGATATGACCTAAAGAAAACAGGAATGCATCCATGTAAACATCTTAAAGGGGAAGGAAAACGGATTCTATACTCATTGTAAAGCAATATGAATTACAAGCTGGCACTTATTGGTAGCAAGGACTAAAGGACCTAGCTAACAAATGGAAGCAACTTTAATAACTGACATAGTCCACTTTTTGTAAGATAATCATTGTGCAAATGCATTATGTTTCAGAATCCGGGCCTTTGGAGCTTTGTGCTTTTTAGAGGTGTGAGAACAGGACTAGAAGCTATTGTTTTTAAGTTAGGAACCAGAAGATCCTCAAATCTTTTTAAAGGAACAGTATTGCCCTAAATAAACTTTTCTTTTTATGACTCAAGGAAGTGAGCCTATCTCTTGCAAACTTTTCTCATTTAAATCCTGAGTTATTGCTGCATGCTTTCAGTGTTTTGAGAACCTTATTGCCCATATCTGCAATTTTCCTTTGGATATTTACACTTTTAAATATACAGTATGGGGCAAGGCTTGTAAATGTTTTGTCTAATATATTTTAATTGTTAATCTTTTATGCATTTATAGCACTTCTAACTTTGCACAAGTAACCCATGTAAAAACTGTACATTTTCAAAAGTTGTAAATAAAAAATAACCTTAAAATTTAGTTCACATTTTTATTAACTTTTTTTTAGGGATTTCCTATCTATTTATCTTCCCTTTTAAAAATAAGTACAACAAAAGCAAAATGCTTTCTGGAAATAGACAGCCAGTACTATATTAGCAAACCTTTTTTTAACTTTTCAGTCACAGAGTTACTGTTTTTCAAACATTTTAACATAAATTCAGTGTACATTGTAGGCAATGAACAAAGAATGAAATGATGATAGGTTTTCTTACTAGTATGCTCAGTGACTAAGCTCTAACTTGTTTATCTTGACAAGCCACCTCTTAAAAATCCTCTAGCTTAGTGGGGCATGTTTATAATAGGCCTAATTCCAGCATCTGAGAGGCAGAGGCAGATGGATCTCTTGACTTTGAAGGCAACTTGGTGTACAGAGCAAGTTTCAGGCGAGGCAGTTACATAATGAGACTCCACCTCAAAGAAAATAATAGGGAGGTAGGGGACAGATGGAGAGACAGCTCAGTTAAGAATGCTTGCTCTTTTTCCAGAGGACCCTGTTTCAGTTCCCAGGACCCACACTGGGTTGCTCAAAACTGTTCTAACTCCTGTACTTAGGGAAATCCAATGCCCTCTTCAGGCCTCCATGAGTACTGCACTCAAGATGGTGCACAAAGATACACCCAGGCAGGCACACAACACATGCATAAAATGTTTAAATTCTGTGTAAGTTTGTGAGGGTAGGTATCCTCTGACATCACGTTGAAATGCAAGTGAGCTCTTCTCTGAGGAGCAACTAGTCTCATTTTAAAGAGAATATGACAGTAACATGCTGTGTCTTATTAATAGTTGGAAGGAAAAGATGCATGCACCCCAGTCATCCTTGAAGGGTACTTAGACCTCACTGTGGGGGAGTTCAATCTGCCATGTGAATTGCATTGTTCCGCTTAGGACTAAGGTCCTCAAATAAACTTAATATTTCCCTTTCAAGTCCATTTCTGTTTCAAAGTGAACCCCATTCATTTTTTTATTTGGTGTTTGAATTAACTTTTTTCACCCTGTTTTGGCTGGGCACCTTAAATATGGATAATATTGCTATTTGAAAAATTTAGCATGAGACTGGGAACAGGCTGATTTAGTAATATTTTATTTTGTACATCTCCTAAGAAACACCATCATGAATTTCTCGTGGGATAATCCTTTTACAACCTTAAGAACGAAGCTGACATAGACATAGCCAAAGCTACCTAGACACTCATTGGAACATTTTATACAAATTACCCTTTTTTCTTCTTTACAATTTTTAACAAAGCCTGCCTTGTCCACATGTAATTACAAGAAAGTTAAAACATATTTTCAAGGTGCCTTTTTGAGACTCAAACTTTCAATTTTGTACCTGCTTATGTGGGGAAAGGGGTATGCTGAAGAACCAAAGCTGTAATTAGAGTCCTTTATTTAGGACCTACTGCAAGGGTTACTCATAGCAAAGTAAACACACTGAATACTACTAAACAAATGCACCTAATGGGATGATATTTCCACTCTTGCAATCAAGGGGGGTAGGTGTTAAAGAGTGGCTCTGTGAGGACAAGCACATATGCATATACAGTTTTCAGGTTACATTTAATACAAATAAAACTTGGAAGCACTCATATTCTGTCAAGTTTTATAGCAAAGTTCCTGAGCTAAAAATGACTTCTATTTCAAAGAGAAGGAAAATGCAAGGACCAAATAAAAGGAAAACTGGAACAGCAAGGTTGTCAGCAGCTTATTCCTGTCAAGCTGATTTCTCCACATCAATACTAAAGCTGCTCTATCTACCAAGTTATCTGGTCCACCAAAATCAGGAACCCAGTTCCTATATACTTTATCCAATTATCACAGAGCCTCAAGTGTAACTAATCTGTTCCATTAGGCTTTTATAAACAAATCTGACTTCTGATTTCATACCACTTTCCTCCAAGACAACAAAAATCATCTTGGAGTAAAACATATAAAGAGACAAGCAAACCAAGTTTTTCACATCTCATTATCTCTAAAAACCATCTCTTGTCATCCAGAAAACCAAAGACACAGTGTTCTAACTACCTGAACCACAACTTTCCAAGGTGGGAGTGAATTTTGCAGGTAAAAAAATAGTTATAATCACAAAATCTATGAAAGTTCTACCCTAGTTCTGTTTCTACTAAAGTATTAGACACCAAAATAAAATGTACATCTCTTCTACCAAACGAATAAAGTATATACACTACGGAAAAGGGTGCAAAGCAGATGCTGTCCTGTGCTAGTCAATGCAGGTGCATGGAAGGAAAGAGGTCCATGTATCAAAGGTAATCTGTATTTTTAAATACACATTTTACTCTATCTTCTTAGTATAAAGTAGAAAAAGGAGTAGGAAAGCAAAATGGAATTTACTATGCATTGTGGTGTGGACCAGTTACAAACCAAACATGAACCCTGCATATGGGGGTTGAAGAGCTGGCTTAGAGGTTAAGAGCACATACTGTGCTTCCAGAGGACCAGAGTTCAGTTCCCAGCACCCATGGCAGAAGGTTGACAAGTGCCTATATTGTCAGCCCCATCTGACACCTCTGTCCTCCATGGGCATATGCATTCACATGCATATAATTCCCTCCCACACACATTATAAAAAAATAAATCTTTTTTAAAAGGACACTACAAACAACCTAGGAGTCCTTACCATCACTTCTCTGGAGTTACCTATCAATATTGTAATATTCATTTCTTTTATTGCTAGGTTTTACTTGATTCATTGAGATACAATAAAACCACATAAAAGTAAACAGCCAAAGATTTGATAAGTCAGAATGCTGGCATACAAGAAAAAAAAAACACAAAGCAAACAAAAACCATGACGAGTGACAGATTCTTCTCCTATTTGCTAAATCATTACATTTATCCATGTGTGCTGTGACTGAACTATTCTGTGCAACCATCACTTCCTTTGTCCAAAGACCCAAAGTGTTGCTACTAGGTTGCTCTCCAGAAAGAAGCACACCACCATTTTGATCAACTTTGGCTCCTTTTTATTCAGGAAGCATACACTAACTCTTTTATTTTTATACATTTTTACATTCCAGAAATAAGCGAAAATAGCAGTTTTAAGTATGTTACAAAGTTGGCTTTGGGGCGTAATAAGCTGTTTGAGAGAGGGACCAGCCAACTGACCTTTTCATCAAAGCACCAATGTACCAATCTTCAGTCTTTTACCAGGCCCTACCACAGCTGTGGTTGCCTTGGATGTGACGCACAGACCGTGTGAAAGCTACAATGGAGAGTTGCTCTGAGTCTCTCTGCAAGGCACCAAGAACAAACAATTCAAGCTTCCTTTCTTCTGATTGAATCAAGGCTTTTTGGAAACTTTGTGACATCTCTCTCAAGTAGTGCTCTCTCAGCAGGAAGACTAGAATTTGTTAAAAGTCATATAGCACAAGATACAGTAAATCACTTCCAATATCCTGGAAATCACAGGGTAGAAGTTATAAATAAGCAAACACTAAAATTACTTTTAAGAAAGTTTTACATCATTTAGTTGATAAAGACATTTACATGTACAGCAGAATTTATTGTTAAACGTTCTATAATTGGCTTCACACAAAGATGAAAATTGCTAGTACAAATTGACCTGACATTTTAAGTAAATCTGGAATTAGCTGTAGCTTAGAGTCAGCATTTACTTTACATATTGTTACAGATTGCTGTGCTATGCCCTTTATAATGTGAATTATTTTCCTCAGGGTGAAATTGCACTTAGATGGGTGTTTTTGCTTGTACAAACTACTAAAATCTGAGGGACGGGGCAATGTGAAAGACACAAACAGTAACTGCACAATATCATCTGCTGGGGTAAGCTAATACGAGTGGACAGAACCTAATAAAGCACTACATGAAACAAACAAGGTGAAACATCTTAAGAATGAATATTCTTCAACCAGATTATGTAGTTTTATTTGATCTGCCTCACATGGTATTTACAAGATAACTTAGTAAAAACTTAATTTGCTTGGGGCATGACAAGCTCATAATGTCCCACTTGGCCTTCCTGTTTGAGTTGATCTAGGAGGTCTTCCTTCCGCCGTTTTCTACCAACCACCAGGTACCTATCATGGCCCACCCCATGAGACTTACTCTTCAGGCCATACTTCTGAGCAATCTGATGTATTTGCTTCCGTTCATCATTAGTCAGCTCTGTGGAGAAGGTCAAATCTGAGTGGCTCTCAGAGCGGGCATAGTTTCTGATGATCTGTTCTATATCTCTCTTAGCAATTTTATTGACCCTCTCTACATCTAGTCCAAGTCCTTCTCGCTTGTGCTGCTCTTTGACTGAGATAGGCTCCCTTATGCCATCACCAGATTTACCCAAGCCACCACCCGTCCAACCCATTTTTCGCAGCAGTTGATTTCCTATGTTATCTTCTTTGATTTGCTGTTTGTAAGCTTCTTCTGCTGAGCGGCCCTGAATTTCATTTCTTGAAATCACATCTTCAACAGTCCCTTTCTTCAGGTTGTTAATGACAGTTGGCTGGGTCTTTTTGAGGGTTTTCACAGCTTCTCCAGCAGCTTCATATTTGACACTTTTCTTCACCCCAATTGCTTCTGCAATGACTTCACTTTCCAGAATCACCTTGCATTTCCAGCGGAGGCCTGTCATCCTCTCATAGACGTATTCAACTGTCATTCGGTTAAACTGAGCTGTATCGTTCAGGGTGCACACAGGATTGGAAGAATTCTCATAAACTACAACATCTTTTATATCTTTCTTCTTTCCTGATCCTTTGGGTGAAGAGCCTGAGTGGCACTGGGAACTTTTGACAGATGGGTAAGTGGGTTGTGTTTTTTGAAGAACCTTCAAAGCTTCGTCAGCAGCTGCATGTTTGCTTGTTTTCTTGGTTCCAAAACCTTCCGCTAAGCAGTGATCCTGCAGGAATACTTGACACCGCCATGTGCGATTTGGCATCATCTCATATTTGTACTCAATTGACATTTTATTGAATGAGGCAGAATTGTTAAGGATGCCAATCGCATCGTTTGCATTTTCTGTAATGACAAAATTGGTCCAATGTTTGGCAGAACTATTAAAAATAAGCTGCCCTGAAGCATTCTTTCCCAGTACTACCAGGTCTTCTGGTGGCTTTAGAGCCGGGGGAAATTCATATGAAAGCATGCCAATCTGACATACTACAAGGTCCTCTCCAATGACGTGCTTGAATTTCCGCCGGACAACTCTAACCTCAATCCGCTTCTGTAAGAGTTTTACAGCTAGCTCAGTAGCTCGATCCCTGGACCCATTCTTGCTCCCTGCATAACCTGTAGTTAGATAGATATTTTGGCATCTAACTTCACAAGCATAACCGTCTGTGAGAAGTTTTTTATTTTTGGGGATGTCAGCGGGAGGAATTTCTTTTAAAGAAGCATATATATACTCAGGATTTGTCTTACACGCCTGAATGCAACGAGTTAGCATGTAGGTATAATTAATTTTATCAGATCCAGAAGTCATCTCTGGATTAGAAAGGTTCTTCCAGATAGTTGCTGTTAACTTTTCAATAAAATACTGTTTTTCAGCAACCACTGACTCAGGATACATCTGTGAAGAAGGCTCTGGAGGTGGCTGACAGTTTGCCAGCTGGGATGTGCTGCTTGGGGCAGGGTTCCTCCTGTCAAAATACATGTTGGTTGTTACAGGCTGCTCTTTTGTGAAAATAAATCCTGATGAATTACAATACTGAGAATTCCCATCTTGCATATTGAAAGAGTCTTGAGTATAATCTTGGTAGAAGTTTCTTGGCATGCTGACAAAATGTGTTCGTCCATTTACCTCTTTTGTTTGAGGGCCATAAGGATCTTCCTGTCTTTCAGCTTTTGAACTACTAGCTACAAAATGTACAGGCTCAAAACGAGGTCTCACATGGAATTTGGAACCAGCTTGCTTTTTAGGAGGATTTTGACCTATAGAATGAGTGAAATTTACAATTCATTAAAATGGGAATATTTCAAAAGAACCCAGCAGGAAAATAGCACCAACCGTATTATCTGAAGCGGCACTGTTGGTACAAGGTCTGTCCCAATCACTTGGGTGAAGGGATTCATGTCACCATAAAGACTACCACAAGGGGTGACGCTCCCTTACCCTCCATGCATTAGGGAAGACTCTGAATAGGAAACAGCTCATCAAATCAAGTATGCAGGCTGCTGCTGTGCAGGACTAGCAGAGGAGATTACAAGTGAGCCAAAGCACAAGTGAAGGGAACTCTTCCCCTATACTGGAAGGACGTGCTAGAACAATCTCTTATCACCTGTGTGCAAAGGGTACCAGGACTACAGATGACTCTAAGGAAACAGAAATGATGGATAACCAGATGCATTTACTAAATGTTTCTCTTTTGTTTCAGAGTTGAGTGGCTATGATAGTGCTTTACCTGGTTGTAACTGTAGTATCAAAATTAGTTTTCAACCAAAACCTTAGCTCTGACTTGTCCTGTACAAAAGGCTTTATTTACCTTTATTTCTAGAAGCGATAACAATTGGAACTAATGATAAGTGGAGGACACCACATTGAAGTCACAGAGACCTACTCTAAGACTGTACCAGAAACTAGTGCTTTTTCCCGACAGCACTCCTCAGTAGAAAGCTGGTCTGTCTGGACCTGTCCAAGAACATCTAATTGCTCAGATGATCTCAGAATGAGACTCTTCTTTTTAGAGGAAGGTTCCATGGCATAGACTTCAAGGATAGCATTACAGTGGGACTTCTGCACTTTCAGTTCTTTTTAGCATACTCGAAAATTGTATGTAAGTTAGAAGTCATTTATCTGTGTCAGACATGGAGGCACACACTTTTAATCCTAGCACTTGGGAGGCAGAGGCAGGTGGATATCTGTGAACTTGAGGCCATCCTACTCTACCAAGTGGGTTCCAGGACAACCAGGGCTACACAGAGAGACTCGGTCTCAAAAGCAAAATTTTAAAAACTCATTTATCTTTGCATAGCATCCAGTGCTACCAGTGTTATTTGAAGCCACATGCTACACTCATATCATTTTAAGAAGCCACACATCTTCAAATCCCACCTCCCAGAAACAAGTTATACTCACCATCGTAGGCTGAAAGGTAGCGCTTTTGACCTTTGGAAGGTCTGGGCAGCATCAGATCGTATGACGGCATCTCCCCAATATCAATACCTTCGGCCATCTGAAGAATTTTTTCCATCAAGCGTGGGCTGTATCTATAAATAAATATAATCTACGATTAAAACAAGGCATGGAGCTACTTTTTACAAATGCTTCTAAATGGGATGGTCTTTTATCCCACAGGACTTATCAGCAGGGTATTTTTGTTATGAAAACCAAGGATCAGACCTAAAATATTTACTTGTAGAATGAGAAGTTAAGTTACTCATTAGGCATCAAGAGCAAGGTTTTCTGCATAAAATATACAAACATAGGGGCTAAAGAGATGGTTTATCAGTTAAGAGCACTGGATGCTCTTCCACAGGATCCAGGTTTGATTCCTAGCACCCACATGACCATTTATTTACAACTGTCTGTAGTTCCCATTCCAGAGTATACAACACTGTCGTCTGGCCTCTGTGGGCAACAGGCATGCATGTTGTGCACAGACATATAAGTAGGCAAGAACACAGATATAATTTCTAGCCAAAACCTTATTTTTAACGTGAATGGAAAACACAAGTATACACTCATGATTTTTTTCTTTCATATATGTATTACAATTTATATAAATTATAACATAGCCGGGCGGTGGTGGCGCACGCCTTTAATCCCAGCACTCGGGAGGCAGAGGCAGGTGGATCTCTGTGAGTTCGAGACCAGCCTGGTCTACAGAGCTAGTTCCAGGACAGGCTCCAAAGCCACAGAGAAACCCTGTCTCGAAAAACCAAAAAAAAAAAATATATATAACATAAATGTAAATAATTGTTTACATAAATGCCAACAATTACATTTCTATGCTTATAAAAATACCGAGTGTTAAAGGCCAGCTAGTAGCTAACATCCAAATTGTAGCTTCTATCACTTCTCATGAAAAGGAATCATGTTCCTCAGAGAAATGCATGCTTCCAAGTCTGGGGCAGGAAATATCTAAGAAGAGCCTGGGAGATTTTGGGCCTACAAACGAAGAAGCAGTCAAAGATCACAGGAATTGTGCCAAATGGACTCAGAAGCCAATCAGAATAACCTCTTGGCAATATGAGCCAATTTGAGTGTCAATAATAGGAACAATAGCTAGCATGAATTAAAATATATTAAATATGTTTAAAATCTATTAGTTCATAATACTTACAAACCCATTATTGGTCACTTTTGGTGGATGGAAGGAATCAACGCATTATTCTCTAAACAAGTAAATATTAAAGGGAGGAAGCAAGCATTTGTCCTATAATTTAATGGTTAAACTATATCTTTTTAAAAATATTTATTTAGTTATTTATTATGTATACAATATTCTTTCTGCGTGCATGCCTGAAGGCCAGAAGAGGGCTCAGATGGTTGTGAGCCACCATGTGGTTGCTGGAAATTGAACTCAGGACCTTTGGAAGAACAGGCAATGCTCTTAACCACGGAGCCATCTCTCCAGCCCCCGGTTAAACTCTATCTTAAGCAAAGGGTTGCCACAGAACATCTCTTCAAGATTTGGTTTCAGTTCTGTGTATTCATGGAGGAAGTGTGCACACATGAGTACAGGATGCCATGGGAGATGCCATGAGCTCTTAGAACCAGAGTCACAGATGTGAGCTGCCTGATGCATGATGGGAACCCGACTCTACTCCTCTCCGAAATCAATACCAACACCATCTCTCCAGCCCCAAGAAAATCATTTGCAGAAGCATTACAGCTAGCCAAGAAAAACATGAGAGCCCATTATCACTCTGCAAGGCACAAGAAATCTACTGGTGAAGTATAGACAGGGAAGAATCTAGAAATAGACTCCTATAAAGGAGGCAGAGGCAGGCGGATCTCTGTGAGTTCAAGTCCAGCCTGGTCTACAAGAGCTAGTTCCAGGACAGGCTCCAAAACCACAGAGAAACCCTGTCTCGAAAAACCAAAAAAAAAAAAAAAAAAAAAAAAAAAAAAAAAAAAAAAGAATTCAAAACTGGTAGTGGACAAAAGTCCAAATTCAATCCCACAGAGGAAGAGTCTCTGCAACAACTGAGCACCTATATGTAAAACCCATGCAGGTAAACCTAAGCCTCAGTTTACAAAAGCAGAAAGTGTATAACTATGGAATTGTCATTTAAAAAAGTAGGAGAAAACCTTCAGGTTCTAGGCTATGCAAGCAGTTCTTAGAAAAGACACTAGAAGCATGATCTATAAAAACAAAAGTGTGGGCTGGAGAGCTAGCTCAGCAGTAAAGAGCATTTGTTCTTATAGAGGACCCAGGTTCAATTCACAGCACCCACGTGGCAGCTAACAACTGTCCATAACTTCAGAACTTCCAGGATGCACACGACATAGACACACTTGCAAGCTAAACATGCATACACAGAAAATAAATAAATCTTTACAAAGGAAAACAAGGGTAAAATGAACCCAATCATAATTAAAATCTTATCCTCTTAAAAGACTGCAAAAAACAAAACAAAACAAAACAAAAACTATAGACTGGGAGAAAATGCTTGTGTACCACGTACTTGACAAGAACTTGTGAGCCCCAAACCCAAGACGAACAAAATCAAACTTTTAAATGAACAAGAAGAATTGGGGAGATGGCTTAGTGGGTAAAAGAACACTTGCTGTATAAATTGGAGGCCCCAGATTCAAATCCCTAGCACCTCTGTAAAAGCTGGGCATAGTCACAAACTCCTGTATTGAGGTGCAGAGACAGGTGGATACCACAGCTGGTTAGCCAGCCAACCTAGCCTAAATGGTGAGCTCTAGATTCAGTGACACACCCTGTCTCAAAAAAAAAAAAAAGCTAAAGAACAACTAAGGAAGACACAACATCCTACTCTTGCTTCTGCGGTGCATTCACCTGCACACATGAATGTACATATATATATACACAGACACACAGAAACAAAGACACACAGAAGGATGTTCAACACCATCAATCACCAGGGAAATACAACTGAAGACACCACTGACCTATCAAAATGACCAAAATAAAACAGTGATGATGCCAAATGCTGGCAAGAATGCAGAGAAACTGGATCTCTCAGATACTGCTGGTGAGAACATAAAATGATACCGTTACTCTAGAAAACAATTTGGCAGTTTCTAATTAAAGTAAACATTGAGCTGGAGAGATGGCTCAGAGGTTAAGAGCACTGGCTGCTCTTCCTAGGGGACCTGAGTTCAATTCCCAGCAACCACACGGTGGCTTACAACCATCTGTAATGAGATCCGGTGCCCTTTTCTGGAATGCAGGCAGAACAGTGTGTACATAATAAATAAATAAATCTTTAAAAAAAACTAAACATTAACTATCACATGACACAGCAATTGTACTCTTTGGCAAGTATCCCGAAGAAATGAAAACTTAACATTCATATAAACACTTGTATATGTGAAAGACAATAAAGCCATCCAGTATCGCTCTAAAAAAAAATAAATAAACACTTGTATATGAATACTCACAACAGCTTAGGTCTAACTAAAGGTGAATGGCTACAACTCTTGTACGAAAACACCAGGAAAACTACATAGCAACAGAAAGAAACAAACCACAGATACAGGTCACAGTGAGGCTGGGGGTGCAAATTATTTTAAAAGAACAATAGGCAGGATCTTTGTGGTATTGGGAATGTTAAGGGTCTTCTTTAAAAACATATTACAATTGTTTCAAAGCACACACATGTGGCTAACAGGGAACAACTCTGGAGTCATTCTCTCCTTCCACTTTCATGTGAGATCCAGCGAGCAAACTCAGGGCATCAGGCTTACATGGCAAACACCCTTACCCACCGACCCATCTCACCTGCCCAGAAATATTAAATATATTGACCACAGTGATGGATTAGAGAACCCTGTCGTTTTCGGGTGTGATGGATTAAAAAAAAACCTGCAATTTTGGGGCGCCGCTCAGCAATAGACTGCTTATCTAGCATGCATGAGGATCTAGGTTCTAGAAATGACAAGTTGGACTCCCCACATGTGAAGAAGTACTATGTAGAATAGCTATCTCCATGCACAGATAAGGGTAAGTAGAAGCAGTTCCTCTTGGTGTTCCAGTTCCAGCTGCTGTGCTAACAGCTGTCTGAAGAAGAGCAGGATAGAGTACTACCTGCTGTGTGTGCTTTATTACATTCATTTATTGTGCCTGCAGGGAGCTGCACTTGTGCCACATTATGCCCGTGGAGGTCAGAGGATCACCTGTGAGAACTGGGTCTTTCCTTCCACTTTGGGAGCCCTGGGGATCAAACTCAAGTTGTCGGGCTTAGTGGCAAATGCCTGAGGCATCCCCCCACCCTTGGAAGTTTCTTGTCATTGTTTCCATCTTTCTGTTCTGAGATGGCCTCAATATACAACTCACATGTACCTCAGGCCAACCTCCCATCCCAACATCAGGTGGCATGACTTAAAAACATTTATTCATTACTTTAAAAAATTATGTATCTGAGTGTTTTCCCTACATATACGTCTCTGTACTGTGTGTGTGCCTGGTGCCCATAAAGGCTGGAGAGGGTGTCCAATCCCCTGGAACTGGAGTTATAAATAGTTTGTGAGCTGCCGTATGGGTGCTAGGAACTGAACCCAGGTCCTCTTAAAGAGCAGACAGTGCTTTTAACCACTGATCCAGCTCTCCAGTCCAAAGTTTACAGCTTTTAAAACCACTAATTTCACATTTGCAAAAACTGGTGGTACAACCAAGCCACCAGCCTTGGGTCCAGTCCAAATTCTCTTGCCCTTCCATCGGAGCCCGACTCTGAATATGCTGTGCACATGAAGGATATACCTAGGGCTCCCTCCAGTCACATTCGCTTGTCTCTCAAGTTTCTTCCAGCTTCGGTAATTACTGTACCTATTTATTGCTCCCTATTCATCACAATTGCTACAGAATTCACCATCTCCCAGAGGCTATAAAAATAAACTCTTGCGTAGGTTGCCAACATAGCCAGATTCTGTCCTTTATACAAAAGAATACAAAAGAAGCCCAGCAAGCTTAAATAAGAACAGAAAGGCTATCATGTTATCTAGTGCTTGACTAGTCAAAATACGATGCAAAAATTTTAGAGTCTTTAAAAAGATCACTAGAATTCTATTTCTA